GAAGTCTTTTTCCTTATGCCGATAACCCTTTTGTGCTTTGCTGTAATTTGTTAAACAAACATATAAAACATGTGCTGTTTTTAAAATTATATTTTGAGGGATTATATTTTTTATATTTTTGGGGGATTGTCGTATAATTGATTCAACACATCAATATAAAATTATCTGCATTTCATTGTGGAATAATAAAATATATCGAGGATCGCGATATTTTGGAAAGAGAGAAAGAAAAAAGGAATTCTTAATTTTCCCTTTTATTTCACTAAGGTGAATTATTTACCTTTTTCAAATGTATTTTTCCTTAACGTATTTTCTTGGCAGTGCCCAATTTTAGAAATTCATGTTGTGATTTAACAGTTGTAAGGAAGATTAGCATTCATGAAAAATTCAACTGCTGATGATCCCATTGATTTCTGTTTTAAAAAAATCCTCAGTTACATTTCATAACTTTGTATTAATTGGAAACTACATGAAAAAGAAGCTGCAGCTTTCAAAAGAACACATGCAGCTCCAAATGAACTTGTCTGAATAACGTGGGTATTTTTGACCATTGCTGTAAAATTGGAGACAAGAGTGTATTAATGCCTTAATTAATGAGCTAAGAATTGGGAAATGGCGTTTGAATGAATTGGTAAATGGCATAGTTCAAGCCACGAGTTAGTCATTCAATCGAAGAAATTTTTGCGCTGTGAAATATGGTCCGATCTGATGTGAGCGATATTATTCTTAACTGCAAACAATGACCTGGCATGGTTCCTGAAATATTTAGATTTGGACCAACGAAATATGATTTGTTGTTAAACAAAACCCCCAGATAGCTTAAGAACGTCTATAGTTGGCTTCCATCTTGACTCATGGGCAGTGGGATTGTCCTTCTGTAAGGTAAACCAGATAAAAGTGTCTTCCAGGAGATGATCTCACTTAGTTGTCATGCTGTTGTTCGTGCCATGCATTGTTATACCTACCGATGCCCGACGTTGTTTAGAATAGTGCAGTCACAGGATTGTGCGTCGTTGGGAAAAGGGTTCGAAGGAGCAGTGTGTTACCAGGTATGACTTAGTATCCTAGGGGTGTATCTGGACTTAACGAAAGTCTGGTACTTGGTATTTCGGAAAGTATTTTTTGCTGATAATGAAGTCTGAAAGTAGTAATATAATAGTTCTATTTCTTCTTAATCTAACTTGGTTTCTTAATTTCAACTGTGGATCTTTTTAAATTCACCCTACCAACACAGGCAGCTGGATGTTTCTTAATTGGAGCAACAATTCGGGACTACTTCATTCTTGTTTTAGTGCAACAGTTTTCTAAACGCATCATTTTTTGAATGCATACAGATAGAAGTCAGTGCAAAGCTTTGCTTTTTAATATCTTAAATGAACTCGAGTTTCATTTTTTTGTGAGCCATCACGTACTAGCTGTTTATTGTGCCTCAGGAGAAATAATTCGTTCTTTCAGCAATTTCACTGGAACTCTGTAGCAAAACTTAACTGAAAGATAACAACAGTGACAACATAACGACTTCTAAACATTTTTGTAGATTTAAGAAACTTACCAGTGAACGCCTGGTGACTTAGCTGCATAGTATGCATTCAGGAAAGGTAAGTGCCACGCAAATGTGCGTTCAAGCGAGTCACTTACGCCTGTATGTATTGGGGTAGATGCATTTGTTTCCTTTCTATTAGAATATAAAAAATTACTGTTATATAATGTCCAGAAAAATTTCTGTTGTAAAATTTTCTTTGTATGTTCATTTTGTTATCTCATATAACAGTGAATTCTCGTGAATTGAGAATTATTACAATGTTTATATTTTTTGGAGACTCATTAATGTTAAGATCTACAAGTTACGAGTTCGGATTTAAGTTCTTCTGCCCCTCCCCCATTAAAAAGTCAAAATGTGATAACATTTCATTTATCAATATAATTACCGAATTGCTTTAAAAAGAAAAAGCGAGAGTTTAGTGGGGTTTTTTCCCCCTCTATTTTCTTTTGACGTGTTTAATTTTTAAAGAATTATTTGGTTTAAAACAAAAAAATGGTCATGCAATTAAAATTTTTTGAAAAGGATGCAAAGCTGTGCAAGAAAAACGTCGCATGGAATTTTTTGATAGAGGGGAAATTTTCCTTGTCTTGTTAATAATTTATTGTGTTTTTTTCCCTTAAATGATTCTGTGTAATACTGTGTATAAAAGTTTTGTGTTTCTTAATATGCTTTATGTGAAGTATGGTAAGTTTCCTTGTGTTTGAGCGCTCATATTCTTCTCTCTATTGTTATTTTTTTAAAAATTATTTATTAGCCCAAAGGACGTTAGCCCAGAAGAGCTATTAATTTAGTTTTGTCATTTTGTGGCGTTTCACTATAAACGGTGTTTCACTTTTCAAATTGTTGCCACCAAATATTATCGCCCTGTATTATCTTTAAAGAAATTAAATAATGAAGAATCTGCATGAATGTATATATGCTTCTCGCACCGTGATAAGCAACAGTACCTAGAGCCGCCAAATTTTGAATAATGTAATCCTCCACTCGAGTATGGGCATCTGGAAACCCAAATTTGGAATTTATTGAATTATCTGTTTCATAATTTGTAAAACATTTATGAGTTTTTGATTAAGAAACTCGACGATCTCAAAGCGAGCACTGTACGGAGGAAAAACAAGTTTTATCTTCAGCGCGCAAGTCTGTGTATCGGAAATTCTAAAGATGTCACATCTTTTTAAATTATTTTGCGATATTGCTGTTGAATTGAATTTGTTTTAAGTGTGAAGAACGTGACATTTAATAAATAAAAGTAACACAAACGTTAAAAAAAAAAAGTCTCTTTGGGCGTAATATAAAATCTGAAAACTTTCAGATTTGTTTATTTTTAAATTCTGTTGAAGATAAACCGCTTTTAGTGGCTACTCTTCAGATTTAAATTTCCGACCTTGTATAGTTTGCAGCATTTTATGAATGAGTTGTAAGTGCTTCTTAGCATTCGTGAAAAAGCATTATCAGTTTGGGGAAGGGAGCAACTATTGCTTAATATAGTTTCTGTGTTCGAAAAATTTAAGAATTTTTATTTTGCCTTCAGTTAACTGCAATAAATTAACTGAGAAATATGTCTTGGTAAAATTGCAAAGTACTGAATTTTAGTTTACGTATAACGAGCAATTAAATGTTATAAAATGTAGTATATCTCCCCTCCCCCCTCCACACACTCTTGCCTCTCTGAATTTAGTAAAACTAATTTCGTCGAGAAATTTTGGAGCCTTTATTGGGAAATTCTGCCATTCATTCGAACATTCTGATGAAATTTTTTAGTTCTGATGTCCGTTTTCGGAAAGCAGATGATAATCTATTAGGAAGATATGAATAGCGGCTTATATACTGACGCAAGATTGTGAACCCCGATTGAACGGGGTGGGGGTTACTGACCAGATTACTGATTAATCTGATTTGCCTAAATTTTTCTCTTCATATTGCGTATCGCAGACCATCAGAATAAAGCAAAATTTCTGTGGGAAATATGAAATGAAGAATAAAATGCATAGTATAACAGCAGTGAAGCAATTGATGTTACAGTGTTTATAAATTGTTTTTAATACATAACAATACGTAATTTAATTGTATATTTTAGACTGTGTTAACATTTTGAAATGATGCGTTAAAAATATGATCCTAAATCTTAAATAATAAGTAAGCGTACTGCCTTAAGCACTGTTCTGTCGTTCTTGTAGTGAGTTCTTGATGTTGATTTAATTTGCATATCATAAAATTTGGAGCTCTCTGACTTCAGAGAGCTCCAAATTTTTCTCCAAACTGAGCTGCTTTAAAATGTAGATAAATTTTATTAGTAGTATTTTTGCAGTAATTATAGTATAGGTTGTTGTCCTTTCATTTTTTCCCCAACTGCTGTCAAGGGTGATTTTGGACTAACCGTGGACTTCTTGCCCTGTATTACCCCGATTCATTGGGAAGCAAGCTACTGTATTATATATTATGAAATAGATTTTTGTATTTAAAATATTTATATTTTAAATGCATACATTGGCTTAAATGTCGTAGTGAATCATGCGCAGATATTAGCTGGATACATTTGAGTAAATTGCGTAGTTAGCTATACGTATAGTGGTTGTAGTACATCATGTTAAGAGAAATTTTTTTTCAATTGTTGGCAGTCGTATTTTTAGCTTCAAATTGATTATTCAGTTGTATCTGATGTTTCGTTAACGGAAAGGCTTAACGATACATGATCTGACCTCAAGTTGCTTTTCGCCGGTTTCGATGGGTATAGCCACAAATAATCTACATCCCGCGTTCCTTTATTATTAATAGTTGTTTGCGCTTTAAAGTAAACGGAAATAAGGACTTGTTGTAACTGGTTTTTTATCCTTGCGATGTATTTTATTGCCGTGCAATTTGCGTAGCATTTTATAAAGTTCTTGCCAACTAGCCTTCTGTGTTGTTTTGCCTCTTTAAAACTTCCTGGATGTTCCTATCAATAAAAATATCAGAGTTAAGATGTTAGTAAAATTACCGAATCAAAGATGTACTTTACAACGGTGGACAAGACTGCCCTTGGGCTTGTGTCTGATGCGATTATAATTGTGTCAAGTGTACAGATGTTTTAACTACATTATTGTTAAAATGTATTTCCGTATAATGACATACTTATTGATGATTGTAACAAATTTTGTTGAAGAAATTTCTTAGAAACGTCTTTTATGGTAGATTTCTTTGGTTCCTTGAAGTTTTTCCGATAGTTGTAGTAAAAACAGAATCTTTTTTTTTTATATATAAATTCTTGTTACGTCATATATCCAAAATTAGTCCACCGATAACAAAAAATTTGGTGACGACAGTTGATTCAACTTCCCTTTCACTTCCGCCGATCAGTCTAACGTCATTGCAGAACTTCCTCAGACTATGTAACGAAGGTGCGTGATTGGTTGACGCATCATTTGTAGTGTCAATTAACCTTGGTATTCATTGGCATTCCAGTCTGTAACCGTTTTTTCCCCTGTGATCATAACAAAAATTGTCATTCCTAATTATTTCTTTGTATCACTACTGAAAATGTTAATTTATTATCAAGTAAAAATTTGTGTAAATAGTAGCAGTGAATGCCTTGAAAAAATTAAAAAGATAAATTATTTTAATTAATTAAAGTTCAATTAGAAATGCTGGTAAATATTTTCCTCTTATTTTCTATTGTGTTTATGTGTAGTGCAGTATTTTCTTTGTATGTGGAAGTATATGTAGAGGAGTTTTTAAGAGAACTTTTCCTTGGTATCCTATTATGAGATGTAAATGCTACTTATTTACATATGTTAAAGTGTAAATCACTATTGAATTTTTGTTAGTAATAAATTTTGGTCTTGGGTTATTTTTTTATGATCATCATTTCTTGCCTGCTGCTGAGTTTTTTTGTTATTATTATAATATCAGGTATCAGAAATGTTTTTTAATAGCATAGTAATTTTTTACACAAATTTGATTTTTGATTAATTTACTTATGTTAAAAAAATAACTGATAAATCAAACAGGGAAAGTCTAAGATTGATAATAAGATTCTATTCAAAATTTTAGTTTCGTATGCAGTCTTCAGAACAGAAATTCTGCTGAATTATTAAGATGCATTTATGATGATTCTTTTAATGTTTTATTGCTTATACATTTTATTTTATAAAAAAACTAAATTATTTTATTTATTTCTATTTTTTTCAGTCGGAATTCCGCTCCGAGGGTAGTGTTTTCGTGAGGCCGTCATGTCCTGCCATCAGTCTGGATAAAATGCTGTCATTAGACCAGGAGGAGGGCTGTCAAATCAGCCCTGATTCACTTGCTGATGACTTTATGCACAATCAAGGGGGACAAAGGAATACACTTGTAAGTACTTATTTGTTTAATAGATACACAGATAGTTATATTATTAAATTAGTAATTAAATGTTATGTTATAATAATTTTATGAGTTAACAGTTATAAACTAATCCATCCTTACTTGGAAAACGTTTTTGGCATCAGAAAAATATTTGTTAATGAAAGCATCTAGCTTTCTATGTGTATTTTAATTTGCCTAATTAAACTAAGTTGAAAAAATGATATACATATATATATATCTATATATATATATATATATATATATATACTACATGTATAAACACACAAAAAAATTATAAAGAAAAATATAAAATCATTTCAAGAATTTTCACGCATTATGCTGAAAATTGATTAGTAAATACATTAAGAAAGAAATTTCGAACCCATTTTTCGCAAAGACCAAAAATTGAAATTCAAATAAAAATATTTCAAAAAATTATAAAAGATGTAGAATTAGATTTCTGTATGTGTTAAAAGAAAAATTAAAATAAACCATCACAAGGAAAACCAAAATAAACAGAGGAATCCAATATCCTCTGACATAACATCGTCAGGAGAAGGATACAAAATTAATTACAATTCCTCTTCCTAAGAAAATCTTTGCTTTTCTGTATCCAGAATTAGCTGATGAACCATTCCAATATATTTTTTAGTCATAAGAGACTTACCTGAAAAATCTGGCCCACCTCAAAGCAAAGTAAAAAGGCAAAAATACAAAGTAAAATCATCAATGAAGATGTTTCCTAATTTAAAATGAACCCTTATATGCAACAAAGGAAAACATAATTTTTTAACAAAATTCTTCAAATTCTAAACTTTTTCCACTTAAAAAATAATTTTAGTATGAAACCTTTTTCTTTAACTAATGTACATGACATTAAGTTTTTAGCTATCTGAGAATTTAAATATGCGAAATAAATTCATTATTACAGTATATTTCTTTTCCCATCAATATCTTTGAAAATTTAATGTCATGTAAGTAAAATCTGAAAATATGTAAAATGGGAAAAAAAATGTGCATGTTATTTTATTTATAATAGTCATGTTTCATTAGCTTCACAAATTATAACTGCTTAGTATTATGTGTGTAACAGTATGCTCAGAATTTCTTGATATCATTTCAGTATTCTATGGATTTCACCCACCCATTGCTGCAGAGGGGCAGCGTATTAAGCAAATCTAACAGAAGTTCTCATGGAAGTGATACTTCCTCAGCTTACTCAGGATCTGACACCATGCAGTCTGTCCAGTCAGTTTCTTTGGATGATCAAGATGTTGATCTTAGTGGACTGGTGGAGAGCATTGTTGATTCTGATGAAGAAGAGGAGCTTACAGAGTCAATGGAGGTACTTTGACATATTTAATTTCTTCACATTAGAATTTCAGGAAGAACAAATAAGCAATGAACAAAAATGGAAAAATCCGTGACTTTAGTTCATTCTGATCAGCAGAATCTATGATTGTAGAGAAATTTAACCTTTTGACACACAAATAAAACATGTGTCGACACATCCGAAGAATACCATTCACTTTGGCTCAACTATGGACACCCATGTGCAAGTTTAGAAACAGAACGTTTTATTTTCAAATTTATGTTGCCATATAACAATAATAATATACTGCACGGCATCGGCCGAATACAATTCTTGACGTCTCAGAGACGTCAAAATCTGCAATAGCGCATGAAATGAATGATGTCTCCATTTATGTCAAGGGGTTAAGACAATATTGCTAGTATGGTTTTGGTTGTTAGGAATACCAAAGGACATGGTAACCTTTTATATTGGCATTAAGTATGGCAGTGATTCCAGACTTCAGGTTACTGTGCTGTAAAGTGTTAAGTATAAAATGTGCGAAGTGTTGAGGAGAAATTTAATCGCAATTTCCTTTCATATGCAAAAAATATATTTTCTAAATGATACTCGTAAGCCAAAAGATTGCATTTAATGTGCTGAACGTAGATAAGCCTTAAGAATATATGGGAATTTATTTATTCAGGACTCAGAAAAGCACAAGCAGGATATATGCATAAGTATAATAAAGAGCTAAACTAATGTAATTCAGGCTTAACTTCATCAGCGTAGGATAGAAGTAAGACAAAATTGTATAGCTTTATTATCATATCTTTTTATGTACAGTAAATTATAATTCAATATATGTAGCATTTGAATTTACATTGTGTATCTGAATGCTTAAATATGAGTACTATAAGTCTGCATAATTTTGAAAATGAATTTCTGATGATAAAAATTTCATTCACTTAAATTAGGATTTCATAAATTAGAAAAGTTCTAGTTGAAACTTAACTTTGCATTGTACAATTTAAAGCTATGTTTGCTGTAATAACTGCAAATTTTTTTGATGATTTTTTTTATAGTTCAGAATTATGTTTTTAAGTTATTTTTTGCAATAAAAATTGCTTTAAATATCAAGCTCTGAAGCCATCTCTGCATTTTTTTATTTTTTGAATGCTTATAATGTCAGTACCATTTTAAATGTAACATAAAGTTATTTATCTCTTACCAAATTATTTAAAGTTCAATATTAGAAGCTGATTGTGATTTTTCATTGCATAGAGCCTCACTGTCCGAGATACTGTTAGAGAATGTCTAGAAAAAGACCCTGCATTACGCACAGAAGAAGATGTTGGAGTAATTCTTGAATACATGCAGCATTTGCCTGTAAGTTGTATGAATTTTTGTAATTTTTTTAAGTAAAAATGGGTTAAATGTTTTGTATGAAATTCTTCCGATCAGGTGATATTCAAACTGGAATATTAGATATGTAAAATGCACAGTTGTGAATTTAAATTGGCTCTTTGTTTAATTAAGAGTTATGTAGTTTGAATATAAGGCAGTTTCTTAAATGTCTTGTGTAAAGGCCTTTTCTCCGAAGCAGAAAATACTTATGTACTTTGATGTAGTCAATTAATCAGTGAACTTAAACTGGTAAACACAGTCTTTTGTGCTCATTATAATTTATGCTAAAGGGGGGGGGAGAAACAACTATTTTTTTCATCAATAGTTAAGAAATATGCATAATAATGCCTAATCTGTGAAAAAGCTCTTGCATGTATGCTGAGACTAAAAACCACAGATAGTGAATGCTAAGCATTCATCTGTATAGGTTTGAAATGCATGCTGCACTTGTGTGAGAGTTGGCCAAAAACTAAATTGTGCCCCAAACTGCATAAATGTAGAATGTGATGACATAAGAGAGTAGGGGGGTGTACTTTAAAAAAATCAAGCAGTAGCAAATCTGACATCAGGTATTATGTCGGTGCTTTTTTATTTTATTTATTTATTTTTACAAGTATTTTTGTATTTTTTAATAATGCTAATATGAATTATTTCATTGAATAGGAAATAATATTTTACTCAATTCTCTTTTATGAATTTTTTATAATTTTTATGAAAAATCTTCTCTTTTTTATGATTTAGCATGCAAAGTTAATTTTTTACAAATTTTGAAATTTTTTGTAAGCATGGGTTAGTTTTTCAAGCACTGTCACCAAATTTGTATTTTATTCATACATCCTTAGCAGATATTAATTTTTTTTGTATTTTTATTATATCAAAATCAAGTGTTTATTCGTTTGGAATATGATTTCAAATGTACAAATGTTGAAATGTCGCTAGATTTGTGACTTTTCAACGTTTTTTGCGATTTTAAGGTGAGATTGTTTATGAAACATTTTATTTGATGACCTGAAAAATTTATGACATTTTCGGAGACTTTATTGGGTTAAACTTAATATTTGTTATATCATTGAAATGACAATAATATATGCATTATTTTTGGAAATCAATATTTTCATTCTTATCATTTGTATTTTCAAATGTTTTTAACCTTTCACATTTTTATTAATTTCTTTAAATATTTTGATTGTTAAACTTGAACAAGGTAATCAATGCTGTAAAGAACAAATTTAGAATTTTATTAGCAGAAAGGAAGGGGGGGAGTGATGTAAATATGTTAAAATAAATTTCATTGGTTTGCTTTGCTATTTTTTATGAAAAGTATTTTCCCTCACTAATTGTTTCAAATATCAGGTTTTTGTGTTAAATTTGTTTTATGCATTTTTTGAATTTTTTTTTCAAAATTCAACTGTTCCCCCCCTTTTACAAAGTTGACAGGTATGATTTAACTCATGCTAATAATATAATAATAATTAATTAATAATGGGACAATATAGTAATAATTAATTAATAATATATTAATAATGGACTTATCTATGGCATTAGAGAAACTTTTTCGATGAAATAAATCACCTTTTTCATACAATAATTCCATTTTATACTGTTATCTTTTTACTTGTTTGTGCATGTGTGCACTTACATATGTCAAATGTTTTTGGTGCATAATTATTCAGACATAAATCTTTAATGATTACTGTTTTTTAAGCTATAAAGCAACAAGGTGCATTATTAAATATGGTGAATCATTTTAGGCATTTGCAAACATGACACTCACTGTACGCAAAGCATTATGTGCTGTGATGGTGTTTGCTGTTGTTGACAAACCTGGAGTGGTAGTAATGAATGATGGTGAGGAGTTAGATTCTTGGTCTGTGATTGTTAATGGTGCTGTTGAAATAGAGCTTCCAGATGGAAAAATCAAGGAACTACAAATTGGTGATAGGTAAGTTACCAAAAAATTGTTTAAATTGCTCTTAATATTCTTAAGCTATAGAATTTCTTACATATTTCATTAAAATAAAGATTTTTTTTTTTCTTGTTAGCATTAAAGTTACATTTTCTTTGAGACGGGGGAGGGGGGATCATTTATGTCCATTTTGAGATAAATGAATTTTTAGTTTGTGTAACTTCAGTGATAAAGATCATACTGTTATAACATCATACAAAAAATTCACAATTAACTTTCAACCTTTATTTAACAAAATTTATGTCATAAACAAAACAAAACAAAAATTGTATGTTTATATGTATATATAATAAGAAAATATAAATAGTCTAAAAATTCTAATAAAAATCTTTAAAACCCGTTCTGCACTATAGCTGCAGGATTGAAGTAGAATAACTTAAAACATCTAAACTAATTAGTAAATTGGAATAAAAGCAAGGCAATTCCTCTATAATATAATTGCAACCGTACATAAGAGTTATGTTATATAAGAGTAATGTTTCCCCAGTATAATATAATTGCAACCGTATAATAATTCCTCTGTAATATAATTGCAACCGTACATAAGAGTTATGTTATATAAGAGTTATGTTTCCCCAATACATAAAAATCCCTCCTCTATTCCAGTTATTTATTACGAATACTTTTTCTTCTGTAGTGATTCATAATATAGAAGCTATTTCTACTGCACACTAGATAGTTTTATTACTTCAATTTTCACAACAAAAAGGGCATAAATAGGTTTTCCCTGATTTATTCTCCCCCGCCCCCAACGAAAAATTTTCAGGAACATCAAAGGGTTTTTCCAGATTTATTATATTGAAGTGGCAATATACAAATCATTAAGGAAAGTGGTAATTTAAATTTTCTAAATTTTTTAGTTTTGGCATCACTCCTACTATGGCAAAAATGTATCAAGTAGGTGTCATGCGAACCAAAGTGGAAGACTGCCAATTTGTTTGTGTAGCACAAAGTGATTATTATCGTATTTTACACCAAGGAGAGGAAAATATAAAAAAACATGAAGAAAATGGTAAACTCGTTTATGTAACCGAGCTTAGAACAGTAGATGCTGCTGGAAACAAATCTCACATAATTATTCGAGTAAGTAGCAATACTTTCTGTGATTTTAATAATTCTGTTTATTAAGAATTAATTGCTGTTATTGTATTCATTTATATGAGATGTGGCATTTGGTAAGAATTCACAATTCATTTTCCTTGTTTCTATTAATTGTTACATGCAAATGAAACTATCTATTTTATTTTGGTATCTCCTCCCAATAAAAATTCTTTTTAGTATTTTTTTTTTCAATAAAATGGATTAGATGAGAATTAAAAAGAAATTTTTGAATTGGGAAGAGATATATTTGCAAATAGTCATAGTTAATTTTGAGATGAAAATTTGCCATGGCTACAACTTTAAGTAGGTTATGAGGAACTGGTAACTCCAATAAGAAACTCCAAGACTTCTCCCTAGTCAGTCCTCTAAAGAAAATTTTTCAACATACATAAATACTGACTGGATTTAATAAATTTCTTGACAGTAGAAAATTCAATAAGAGAATGTGATAGAGGAAAGTCATAACCAGCTTAGCCAGACCATTTACTAGATCACTTCTAGTAATACAAAAATCTTTGAAGATTTATTGTAAAAAAATTTACTGCCTGCTTTCCAAGAAACAATTTGGCAGTTATACACATTTTTTTACCGTTACAGATAAAAGTACACTAATGGTATCTTGAAAGAATCAGCATAGGTAACATTTGGCTCCATTCTCCTGCCAATTTCCTCTAAAGAAACAGCGATCATTTTACCATCGAAGTTAATTGTTGAATTTACAATATTTCTGCTAAGATTTAAATGTACCTCAGTTCCAACATTTTTAATGGCATCCACAGTGAAATCTTCCATGTGGACATGCACGCATATAAATATTTTTACTAGAAATTTCAAGTATGTGTATTAATGTAAAAAGAAATGAATGTGTATTAATGTAAAATTAATGTAAAAAGAATGTCTTTTTAATCTTATTTAAGAATTTTTACTGTTTAATTTCAAGTCATGTTAAAAGTGCATATAATAATAAGATGGATTTCAATAATTTGCAACTAAATTTAGTTCATGCCTTTGTTATCAGATTTTATCTACATGTTAGATACTAATACAGATCTTAACATAATTCGTATGCAATATTTTTATTTTCTCAATGCACCCAATTGAGATACGAATGTTGCATATGAATTCTGTCTTCATGAATGGAATAATAAAATTATTGTAATATTGTAATTAATCTTAAAATTCAAATAAATAACTTTTTTTAAAAATTTGAATTTGAAGCTGTTTGTAGGAAATATAACATAGATTATGATTTAGTAATAAGACTTGGTAAAATATTTTATTACTGTTGATTATAAATTTATTAAGACATATTTCAGAATATGCCATGTATTTTGATCTTTGTGTATGTAAAATGACTTGAATTTATATGTAAAATAATGTACCTCTTGTTTAACTGTAAGTGATACATTCGGGATGATATAACCTCTTTTAATGTTTAATAATGATACAAGATTAAAGTGTTTAAAAATTTTTAATAACAATTCATTTTATGTTTTTATGAATTAGGATGGTATTAAGAATTAAGAATTGTATATTAACTCATAAGTTTTCAGTTCTTTTCAAAATAATTATTTGTTTCTTATGCTTTTAACCTTTAAATGCATGTCAAGTTATTTCATAAAAATTACTTTTTTGATAGTGGCAACAGCTTTTATTAAAAATTTTAACATTGTATTTAAATTATTCCAAAAACATGAATTTTTTTCTCCTAAAAAATGTAACACTATAAATTTTTCTGATTAAAATGTGTCATAAGTGATGGAAAAAAAAAGAGTAAGAATTTTCTAAAATATTTTTTTTTTTTTTAGTTCACAAATGATTTTTGCAATTATTTTTTAAAGTTATTTTAAAAGTGAAATATTTTTATAACTTAGATTTCATTATCAAAATATAAAATGATATTGGTAAATTTATTAACTTGTAAAGTATTTGAATTCAGTATAATTTTGTGTTATTATTAGTATTGTGTGTTAGAAGATGTCGCCATAGTAATATTGGGGCAATAGAATTTTATAATAGCAGTATGTTATGTTTATTAGTAATTACTAGTAAGCCCATGATTCTCTAACAAATCAAATAATGAATATCTGAAGGCAAAATTTATATTTTTGATCACTCTCATTTTCGAAAACATTGCATGGAGAGTGCAACCATGCCACTCACATTTTTTTTTCTCTTCACCCTTCTTTTTTTATTCACCATTTTTCTCTATTCGTCTTTCTGAATCAGATTAAAAAAGATGCTGATGTTGCAGTTAATGTACCTTAAAGCTTGTTCATCTTATATCACATAAAACTAACATCAAAATAGTTTGCAGAATACAGACCAATAAATTGGATCAGAATAATAAGGCTTAAAACATCCTGTTGATTGTATTATTGGAATCTTAAAGTGCACAATTCTAAATGCAGGAAAAAAAAAAAAAAATCTTGCATATTTTCCAAAACAAAAGTCTTGAGATTGCATTTTAAATTACACAAATCATTGCCATCTTCAGTATCAAAACAAAGAATAATTAAATTAAATATTTTCACATTTTCCAGTGTTTTCAAAGGCTGAATTAGTATTTTTATGCATTAAAATTTATATAAATTTAAGAAATAAGCATGTCATAAAGAGGGGAAATCTGAACCTTTTTTTGCAACTTCACAAGCAATAACAAGCTTCACAGGTAAAGATTTCCAGAGCAAATCCGGATATATTCATCACTTTATATTCTAAATATAAATAGTATAGCTAATACAAGAAAACGTATGGCAATACTTAACCCTCTGTAAAGTAAACACTCATCGCTGAGTGCATTCATGCCACATATATATTTTTTTCTCTTTGCCTTTTCTAATGTAATATATTTAGAGTAGCTTATAAAGTATTTTCTTCCTCTTTTCTACACGCCTTCATGGTGTAATTGGAAGCATGCTCAATGCATATTTGAGAGGTCCAGGGCTCAAGTACTGCCAAGGATGCTGCATATTTTTCATGTCATGTCCAAAAAACCTAATAACTTTACAATTCATGCCCAAACTAAAAGGTGCTACATAATAATTTGTCACTGCCAGGTTTTGGTGACTGAGTTTCCTAATCTCCAGTTGCCCTTTAAAAGGGGGGTGGAGAAAGTATTTTCTCCCTCCTCTCCGCATGCCTTCGTAGTGTAATTGGAAACATACCCCATGGCTATTCGAGAGGTCCAAAGCTGTTCAAGTTCCAGTGAGGGCAATTTTTCATGTCTTCTGTTAAAAAAAAAAAAAAAAAAAAAAAAAAATGGTATAAATTTTGTTGGCATAGAAAATTAGAAGAAATTGTATAGACTAACAATCAATTATAGTTCTAAAATATTGCTAAGTTTGCATGATTTAAAAAAATATATAATTGAAAATGCAGAAATTTTTTTTAAATTTTTATTAAGACATATGTTGTATGTTGTTGACAAATTTTAGTGAAATGTTCACATGTTGATTATTTATGAAATTAATATTTGTCATAAATGGCAGTAACCATTTGCTTACAATTGTTGGCAAGACTTACATATTTTCAGTTGGTAAATTTTTTAGATGTATAGGCATTTCAGTCATTGCCCTTGTCAGCATATTTCCAACTGCAGATTTTTGGTAAGATGAAAGAATTTATCACAAAAAGTAGTGAATCATTTGCTTACAATTGTTGCAAGATTAATGTATTTTCAGTTTGAAACTTTTTTAGATGAATTGTCAGTAATTTCCAATGTTAATATATTTCCAATAAAAACTTTTTGATTAGATAAAAATAGTTTATTGATCAGATAATTATTTGGTACTCTTCTGTTATTAGGACTGGATTCAGAAGCATATGTATGTATGTGTACATGTGCGTATATATCTGTGTACACACACACATGCATACATGAATACATACATCAGTATATAACTGCATACATACATTTGTGGGCCTGGTCCCAAGAACAGAACAATACCAACTATTCCTTATCCATTTTCAATATATTAGATGAAATACGTTTTATATACTTTTATCATAGGGTACACCTGAAAGACTTCTAGAACAGTTAGTAGAAGATAACTCAACGGATGTGACTTATGTAGAAGATTTCTTGTTAGCATACAGAACATTTATTAGTGACTGCAAAATTATAGCTGATAAGTTGTTAGTGTGGTTTGATGATCCGAGGTATCGAGACAGAGTGAGTGAGATATATTCTTTTTGTTATATTTATCTTCGATACTTTTAAAATCACATTGTCTAATATTGCTTATTTATTTGAAATATAATAATTTTTATGCTTGCATATTTTATCATATAATAATGTATGCATAATACTTAAATATTTATTGTTTAAAAGATTTATTTTGAACTCAGAGAGGCTTATTGTCTGTTTTCAATTTAGCTTTTGTGGCATAGTGCCTAATACTCTGATATAGAACTGCATCTATAAATATTTCTTATTCAAAGAAATAGATGTGAAGAAGAGCAGCTTTTTGTTAAGTGGCCTTGTTTCTTTAAGATACCACTGTTTTAAGTCTTTGGTGAGATATAAACTTTACATATTACAGATTTGGGATTAAGTGTGCTAATTTTGGTGATTAAGTGCTATGGCTGCTTTACCAGCAAGTATCAAAGAACATTTCAGAAAACTGCATTATAGTAGTATTGTATCAGTCTGCTTCAATTTTAGATGTATAGGCATTTCATAGGTATTCATTTCATAGATGTATAAGTATTAGATAAGGATTTCATACGAAAAAATTAATATTATTTAACTGTTAAAAGATTTTTGAAATTTTGTTATAAGGGCTTTCATTGTATGTTTCTGAATAAAAAACTTCAATTAATAATCATAATTATTAATTTTTTAATTCACTGTGGAATTCTTTAGATGTGTATCTTACATTAGTAATTAAATTTTAATTAAAAATCAAAGCCTGTGTGTTTTCTTGTTGACCAACATAGCTGTTGAAGGCCCTCCCCCTCTAAATTTACTCTAATCATTCCACTCAAAGTTTGAAGGAAGAGAGTTATATATGAAGATATGAAAAACTTAAATATGAGCTCATTTTGATGAGATATCTGATGAATAAATCCACTTAAACTTGCAGCAATCATCCCAAAAAGTTGCAGCAATTCCCCCAAGTTTTTAAAATAGCAACACACTAGTAATCTTTTTATTGAAATTGGCACTTATTGTTATCATAGTATATAGATACATAAAGGGTTTTAAAAGGGCTTATGCATATTCATTAACATGCTGAGATGAAACTGTGTTGCTAATTTCCATATCATGTAAGAACGAAACAATGCTGTAGGAAACTGTGTCATGAAAGGGATACATGTGTATACAGTACAAAGTCTGTAATCCGGATGTCCATTATCCGGAATGATCTATAATTCAGACCTCAAAGCCACAAACTTTTTTTGTATGCTTTAAGCATTTGTGTTTAATGTATAATGGACGGTATAAGGTAGGCTAAAATTATCTTTACTGATTCTAAGGCATTTCAGTTAATTTTGCAGATTGCGCTGTTCCTTCTAATTGGACACGGCTTATTACTTTTAGCAGACTGTTAGAGCAATTTTATAAGCTAGACTAAAATTATCTTGTTAAATTCATTGATTCTAAGGCATTTCAGCTAATTTTTCAGATTGTGCTGTTCCTTAATCTTCTAATTGGATCCAGCTTGTTATTTTTTGCAGACTGTTAGAACAATTTTATAAGCTAGGCTAAAATTATCTTTACTGATTCTAAGGCATTTCAGTTAATTTTGCAGATTGCGCTGTTCCTTAATCTTCTAATTGGATCCAGCTTATTATTTTTTGCAGAATGTTAGAGGAATTTTATAAAAATTAAGCTTGAACTTTTGATTATGTCAAAAAGAGTTTCCAATTCTGGAGTTGCTAAAGGATCTACAAAGTGAATTGATTATGTCAAAAAGAGTTTCCAATTCTGGAGTTGCTAAAGGATCTACAAAGCAAAAGCATGTTTCGTTGCCCATCAAATAAAAAGTGGAATTGCTGCAAAAAAATGGATAAAGGCATGTCCGTCGGTCAAAATTATCGACCAAGATGAGTATGTCATGTAGTATAGGCATTGGAAAGTCCACTGTATATGAGCACAAAAAAAGAAAGAAACTTAAACTACTTACATTGAAAGAAATGTTTAATAAAGTAAACAAATAAATATTAAGCTCCCCCCACTTTTTTTTTTGTAAAATTTGATACCCTTTATATTATAATTGCTCTTTATTTCATAAATTAGGGTTTCATATTTTTAATTGTATAATTTCTGCATGCCATCTTACCAAATTTAAATTGATGATCTATAATCCGGAAAAACCCCTAATCTGGAATCGCCAAAGTCCCAACGAGTCTGGATTACAGACTTTGTACTGTATATTATAAATATATTTTGATTAAATTAGTTAATGTACTTTAATGTCACTAATGATCATTTATTGTTCATAACTTCATTAATATTTAATTTAAATTATTGAAAATTTTTTTTGAGGAAATTGAGGAAAGTATGATTTTTAAGATAAGTTTCAGCTAAGTATTGTGCTATGTAAATTTATTACATTGCATTTTTTTCTTCTTTTTAGTTTATATAATTGATGCCTGTAAAACTTAAGTTTTTTTTTCCTTTCACTAGCTAAATAATTTTTTATCAATGAAGTAATTTATTGTATTTATTTTTGCATTAACAGAGTTATTTTATATGTTATGCACATTTATTAAAAAATGCTAATTTTTCATTTTAACTTTCAGGTAACTAGAGTTGTCCTTTTGTGGGTCCACAATCATTTTACAGATTTTGAAACAGATGTTAGAATGATGGAGTTTTTAGAGCAGTTTGAGCTGAAGCTTGAAAAAGAAGTAATTTAATTTTAGTTTATTTGATTTCATAATGTTCATACACTCTTGCAGTCGGGATTAATTTATGTTAGAAACTTAAGAATTATTTTAAAACTTCACTAATAAGAGCTAAAGATAAATAAAACACTTTAACCCCTTAAGTGCTGCAGCTGGCTTATATGTGGACTGTCATTCCAAACTGATTTTATTGTGCATCTTACAGACTCTTCATAAAATGAATCGACGAAAATTTGCACTGTTCGATTTCTATTTTAAATGCAGAAATATTCAATTGATGAACTGCACAAATCCTGTGAATTTGGTTTTATGCTAATAAGATAAAATACAACTTTTGTGCAGCTTTTTCCAGCTTCTGTTTACTGCATAGTTTTGTAAAAGGAGCTGTAAATATAATGATTTTAGCAATGAAGTATTTGGATGTAATTCTGATATGAGAATTTTTTCTGATGCTGATTTCTTTTATAAAACTGCAGTGCTGGATTATGCATACCTTATTTTAAGATAAGTCTTCCATGAACTTAAATTTTGTTTCCACATTTCCTGCCCCCCCCCGCCCCCAAAATCTGCAGTTTCATTTTATTTTTTGTGTGATTCTGTTGGTGGTTTAATTCTTTTCTCCAAAAGAACCATGGCTTTTCTATGGGATTTAACTGTAGAAAATCAGAGATCAAATTGAAAGAATGCTTCACAATATTTTTCATACCAATCGCACATATTTTTAGCTTTGAGCTATAGTTAACTGTTATCATGGAAGCTTTAAGTAACTATTTTATATTAATTTGTAGGTGATATGCAGAAGATAATCAGAAAAAGAATTTGTAGAATAAAATTAAAGATTTTTATTACAATTTAGAAGGAGTATTATTTTAATTGCATAAACCTATACTATTAAAATATATCAGCTAATAATTTGAATTTTCATCAGAATTAAATAATTAAGGTTTGTAATAAAATAGTTTGATAAGAAAAACCTGACAAATTAGTGAGGTTTTTTAATAAAATGATTTGCTGTGATTAATTTGAAGTAAAACTGCCAATCCTGGTAAAACTGGGAGTTTTTAGTTTTTTGTTTCATTCCCTTTACATTTACAAATCTTCTGAGTTTTAAGTTATCTGTTTTAATTTAGATCGTCTATTTCAAAAATAGCTCTAGTTGAATTACTGATAAATGTTGAAGGAAAAGGAAATGCTATGAAGGAAATTTTGATTACAAGTTTTGAAAAAATGATAACCTTATCATCTCTTAATAAATGCCTATATCATTTGGGGAGGGATTGAGGAGTGACTTTTGGGTAATTTTTCTGATTAATTTTTATTTAGTGTGATCTGTTTTAATCCATTTAGAGATATAGAGCCTTGTAAAGCATTTTATAAGGAATAATATGATAGGCAAAACTTAACTTTTTTAATAATAATATGACAAATTTTCTTTAAATGGTATATTATTGCATTTATCCAATGGCATGCATATTAATTATTAATTTTTGTCATGTGTGAAAATTGATATATTTTCTTTCTTATTTGAAATTTTAAGAAAATCTTAAAACTAAGTTAAAAGTAGCCAAAAATGAGTAAATAAAGTGAAATTAATGACAAATATTTATATAGTTTTCATATTCTACTTCAGAATCATATTATAACTAGCTTTTAATCTTGATTATGCATTGTACAGGGGTGTAGCTAGAGGGGGGCATCTGTCCCCGGGTGCAGAATCCAAGGGGTGCCAAACTGATGTTACGACATTTTAGAATTAAATGTTTTCCATACTTGGCAAGCAGTAGGGGACACGAAATCTTCAGTTGTCCCTGGGCGCTGAAAACCCTAGCTACGAATCTGGCATTGTAAAAAAAAAAAGATACTATTCCATTTTGAGAACCGTAAAAAAATTGCAGCAAAATTGTATGTGCAAAAGCGCCAATCTTAATTTTTAAATCCTTTTTTCATATCCTATGGATTTAACAATTTGGGAATTGTCCATGACGAAAAATCACAATAGAATTTTGTCAAAGAAAAGGCATCATTCATTATAGAAAATTATGTTTGAACAACCAACAAGATGAAATTATGCTTTAGCAATAACTCTGTACCGAAATAACGATGCAGGAATCCATTCAGTTATGTTTAGCCTTTTTTTATATAAATTATGATAATTATAATAATAGTTATTTACTCTTATGCTTCCATTCAGTTATGATTAACCTTTTTTATATAAATTATTATAATTAAAAAAGTATTACATGAAATTAACCTTTCATCTAAATTAAAACAATAATCTTAGATAGTTATTTACTATTACACCTTTCTTGCAATAGGGTTGCCGAAATTATTTTTGGCAGCACTGGCATCAACAATAGTTTGGCGATTTTTTATGGTCCTCAAAACAGAATAGTACCAAAAAAGTTATAATGAGTCGTTAAAAGTCGAATTTTTCAGTTTGGGATCCTTTTGAATTCATATACAAAGCGCTGTGAAAATCTCCTGGTTTTTCATATTTCAGAATTGGCAGTTATGCAGATGGAATCTTCAGTTGTTGAAAAACATTAAATTTTCTTACAATTTTAACAGTTTAATGTTAAATGATTTTTTTGTATGCAGAATTTTATCTTTTTCATAAAAGTCATACCTTTTCTAAGTTTTACATGACTTTTATAGTTAAAATCAACTAACATTCAATTTTAATTTACAGAAAATGTTAGGCCAACAAAGACTTTTAAACATAGCTTGTGCTGCTAAGGCACGCAGTCGTGTAATAACATTGGCTAGATCAACAAGAGAAGAAGTTTTGCATTTTTCAATACTTGGTGGATATGAAACTGGATTTGCCACGTTTGTGTCTAAAGTGGACAAAGGCTCAAAAGCTGAAGAAGTTGGTTTGAAGAGAGGAGATCAGGTATGTAACAGTGAAAAAAATACAGTAGAATTCTGATAATCTGCAGTGGCTTAATACATGCTCATTATTATTATTATTATTATTATTATTATTATTATTTATTTATTTATTTTTTTCAAACAAACAATATCAGATTTGAAAAAAATTTCAGCATGGTAAATTTAATGGTAATTTTGCATTTTTGGCATGCATTATGTATGTGCAAATAAACATTTTAACAAAAATACATATTATATATTTTGATTGAGAAAGTTAATTTATTTTATTTTTTAAATTATTTAACTTTTTTGGCATGCATTGCTTTCATTTGATTGTAAATGGATTCTCTGATGTTTTTCTATTCTAGATATATACACTGGTGTGCAAAAATTAAGGACGAAGTCGAAAAATTAGCATATCAGCTGAACGAAGAGGCAGAGCAGACAGAAAGACCAATCCGGAGATTAAGTAAGGTGATGTACGGTAGCATATGCGCAGATATGCAGGTAGATGTAATGGGGGAGTGTCTGAGTAGTATAAAGCATGTTGTCGGTGTAAGATCAGTATTTCTGGCAAAGAGATTGCACGCCGTATAGCAGTTAAAATCACACCGAGTTGCTGCCTCAGTGAGAAATGGCGAATAATCAATCCGTTAGACGACATCTGGATGCTTTTACCCGAAGTCGAATCATTGGGAAGTTGGAGGAAGGCCGCAGTGTGACAAGTGTGGCTGCAGAGTTCGGAATTGCTCACAGCATCGTTTCACGACTTTGGAGACAATTTCAAACTACAGGAACAGCTATCCGGGGGTTTAGTAGTGGTCGTCCACGAGGAACCACACCCGCAGATGACAGGTATATTGCCTTACAGACCAGAAGAAACAGGCGGCAGACAGCGGGAGAAATCGCTAGACACAGGCGACTGGACGACCAATATCGCGTTTTACCGTAGCCAGAAGACTGCATTGGTGGTCTGTTTGCACGACGCCCTGTACGATGTGTACCTCTAACGCCTGCTCATCAGAGAAGGCGTTCTCTGTGGTGCCGGGAACACCGGAATTGGAAAGACAATGAATGGGGACGAGTACTCTTTACAGATGAGAGCAGATTCAGTCTGAGTAGCGATTCTCATCGCAGACTCATCTGGAGAGAGCGGGGAAGCCGCAATCATCCCTTGAACATCATTGAAAGGGACAGTTATGGAGGTGGCGGTGTTCTCGTTTGGGGAGGCATCATGCTTGGTAGTCGTACAGACCTTCACATCTTCGACGCAGGTTCAGTCAATGGGACCCGTTATTGTAACGAGATTCTTCTTCCATATGTGCGTCTTTTTAGAGGCACTATGGGTCCGCAGTTCCTTTTCATGGACGACAATGCACCATGTCATCGCACAGTAGCTGCCAAACAGCTGTTAGAGAGTGAGGATATTGAATGTATGGATTGGCCGGCATGATCTCCGGATCTCAATCCCATCGAGCATGTATGGGATTTTCTAGGCAGACGCTTGGCAGCTCGTACCTTATCACCAGTAATGATTCCGGAGCTTCGATTGGCGCTGCAAGACGAATGGGCAGCAGTGCCTCAACAACTCATTGACACCCTCGTTCTCAGCATGGGCAGACGCTGTGAAACCTGCCTAGCAGTCAGAGGAGATCATGTCCCCTATTAAAGACCCTACGTTTCTTGCTGGACACCCATCACAGGGATGTTTCGGCCTTCAGTCGCATTGCGCTCCATGCTACTTTTTCAATAAAGCTTCTTTTTATCCCTCTGATTTCTCTTTTAGTTAGTGTTGCTTACATTACTCATGTCCTTACGTATTGGGGATCTTACGGTATTAAATGTGTTGATTTGGAAAGCTTTTGTACAAAGTTATATTGAAAAAACCGTCTCGTCCTTAATTTTTGCACACCAGTGTATGTCCTTTTAGATACATATCTCGCTATCTTTTAAAATTAATCTTGATATAATTATCATGTGTAAAGAATTTATGTGTTGACAACATTTCAGACAGTAGTTAGTGTATTTACATTCCTATGCAATGAGCAAGTGCATTTATATCAAGGATCAGTACACATATATTATTAAAAATAGTACTTGTAAAGATTTCCCTAATGTTAAAACTTAATGAAAATTTTAAAATATATATACAAGATAAAATATGTGTAAATCAGCGTAGTTTAATTTAGTAATAGCCTTTTAATTGCTTTTTTTTAATTTGATTATTTTGTCTTTATTCTAGAAATAATAATAGCAGTTTTGGACTGTGTCATTTCTAGATTAATCTATGCCACAAAACTTGCATAACACTGATGACATAATTATTTCAGAACCTAAACCCCGAGAATTGAAACCTTTCTAACGTAAACCCAAACCTTCCTCTTTGGTGAGCTGCCGTATTGGATAAATGTGCACTTCACTTGCACTGTTGTGTAATAAATGTGCACTGTTCTTGCTCGGATTTCATTTTGCTGTTTTCTCTTCCTGTTGCAGTAGTATTCAAAAATGTAAATGTTCTGAAAATAGGCACGATTAGAGTGCCAAGTAAATTGTGGCTACAGTTTACTTGGCACTCTAATTGTCAATTTGAATAAAAATGGCATTAATCTGCCTTGACTGCCAAGGTTCTTATTCATTATGGATTAGCATTCTATGCAATCAGAGTTCTTCCTCTACAATATGCTGTCTACGTGCTTCACCAGTCAACATTGCAACATCTTTTTCTGTTTTTTTTTTTTTAATCACACACACACACATATATATATATATAGTGTGTTAGCATTAATTTTGTTCTAATTTCTTGTTTAGTTAAAAACTTATTGTTCAAGTTTTATATTGTAATATATAGAACTCCCATTAAATATTCAACTGAAATCTTTTTATTCTGAATAAGCCTTTTGTCATTGTCTTCATTATCATTGGTGATATTTTATGGATTTAAAATCATAATACTACAGATTTTGCAGTCTCTTAATTGACTGATGATGAGACAGTGGTACCATAATAAAGACTTTGGTTAGGTAGCATCTTCATTTAGCATTTGTTTGTATTTCTTTAACTATTCCTTTAACCAGAAATTTTTGGGGTTCTTTTCCATTTCAACTATAATACTTGTTAATTTAGAACTCAAACAACAAAAATCAGCGTTATATTTTCAAATTTTCACGGGACTAGTTTTTATGTGGTTTTACCGAACCATCATCCTCAGCTGCAAAAGCACAAATGGAGGTGGAACTGGACCAGAACTAACCAAACTGGACCAGGTGTCTCCAGTTTGGTTTGTCTTCTTTCCTGATGCAATCATATTTTTTAATGAAATAGCTTTTTAAAATTATGACACCTTGTATAGAAATCAACTTATTTATTCTTATTTTAATAATGTAATTATAAACCTTGATAAATTTGATTTATCAAAAATATTAAAAATTTTGTCACAAAATCAAAAGTAGCATTAATTTTTAAATAAATAATTTGGATTTTGTTTTTATATTATTAAATTATGAGATATTTTATCCTATGTTGCAGCCCTCAAAACATAGCAGATATATACATATATATATATAAATTTAAAAAAGGGGGGTGAGTATGGATACATTGAGAGAAGTATATAAAAGGTTAGGTAAAGTTTTATTCAATAGTGTGCAAGTTTGTATATATAATAGTTGTAATATATCTAATAGTTTTTTTGTAATGGTGTGCAAGGTGTTAAAATAATGTTCTATTACTGAACTTTTTTTGAATAAAAGGAAGCAGAATCTATACTGTCAGTACTGATGGCTGAGTATCTGTATGGAAAACAAAGAAATTTCAGACATTGATGACTAATTTAGTGCGGAAGCCAGAAACTACCCTAAACATCCCTTTTTTTTTATTTCTGTTTTTAATACATCTGTTGAACTACATATTTCTTTAATATCACAGATAAATAAGTGACCTTATGAATTGTGGATTGCCTTAACATCTTGTAATTGGCAGGACTAGATGAAAACAGAAATGCCTCTTCGAAAAGAAGCCCGCCCCCCCCCCTTGTCATAAATACAGAACACATCATATATTCAGGCACTATTCCATTTTGTGGTTAGGAATATGTAGAAGTTATATAAAGGATATGCCCTGAATTATTTATCCATAGCTATAAAATATGTACTTTCTATTAAAATTATTTTATTTTCATTTTTGCAGATACTTGAGGTAAATGGGCAGAGTTTTGAAGTCATGAGCCACGTCAGAGCACTGGAATTATTGCGAGGGACAACTCATTTATGCATCACTGTGAAATCAAACTTACTTGGTATGTTTTGTTTAGTCTGCCTAGTAAATTTTTACTTTACCATTTTAAGTAATTATCATTTAATTTTTACTTTACCATTGTTAATAACTATAATTAATTGATGCAGCTTTCAAAGAGATGTTGAGTGCCCCCGAGAATTCCACTCGGCGTTGTCGCAAAGCTTCAGAAATCTCCCTTCTCCAGCATGATCCACGGGCTAGGTTATCATCTCAAGTTGAGTGGCATGAAACAATGGGTAGCTCCTGTGGTACAATGCCTGGATCTCCCACTTCAAAAGTAAATGGTTTGGCTTTTAGATCAAGTGATGGGAAGAAAGATGGAGAAAAGAAAGGATATTCCACCTTAGGACACAGAGCAAAGCTAAGAAGAGTTTTAGCAAAAATAAACATCATTCCTCGCACATTGAATAGGTAATTTTAGAATTTTTAATGAAAAATTTTCTAAAATAACTAGCCATTTGCGCAGCCAGCTTTCGGTTTAGTGAGTTGTGCATGCCAGACTGAACGCTGGCTAAGCAAGCTGCTAATTAAAAGAAAATCTAGAAAATCGCTAAATTCAAACTTTTTTATCATTATTTGGCAATGCTATAGTGTGTGATTTTCTGTGATTAAATATTATTACCTAACATAATATTTAAATGTGAAAATAAATTCAAGTAATTAAAAGGACATAAATTAAAATTATTCCTTTAATTAGTTTAATAACATCTTGTTTTATTCCTTTAAATTTAAATTCCTTACAGTTTTACAAAATGTAATTTTTATGAGTCATTCAGCCATATACATTACGAGTGGCACTCAGCATAGCCAAAAAAAATCATAATTTTTATTAATAGACGTCCACCGTACTTGTGCTGGATAATATAGAAGCAATTACTACCGTATTTGACGGCATATAAGAGGCACTTTTTTCCTAAATTTGGTCTCAAATAACCTGCGTCTTATACGTGAAGGACACAGGTTAACTTTGAATACTTAATGCTATTTTTAGCCCGGATAAAGGTCTAGACACACATAATGTTTTCTACATCTGCCATAATTATTTTGCGCATGCGTGAAATATCTGTCGCCAAAAAGCTCCAAAGCTCGAAGCTGATGTCGAAGTTCAAACAGGTTCAACGGTCACATTATGTCTATGGACCCTTTCCTTCTTTACATAGACTTTCTTAGCCAACACACGTGTCGGTATCGGTGCTTAAAACTATTTGTTTAAAAAAATACCCTGGAAAATATGACTACAGGAAACAGGAGATTAAGCTATGCTATTCAGTATGACCTAGGAGTGTTAAACTACGCCAAAGCGCATGGAAACAGAGCCGCAGCAAGGCATTTCGGTCCACCATATACCGAAAAAATTATACGTACTTGCCGACTGCAGGAAGATCAACTGAACACTGCTAAAAAACAAAAACATAACCTTCGATGCTCAGCTCCATCTTGGCCTGAAGTTGAAATTGCCTTACAAATGGGGGTGATAAATAGGAGGAAATCAGGGATAAGTGTTTCAACTAAAGTGATAATCAATGAGGCCAAAAGATTTGCAGAAAACTGGGATCAGAAACTTTTCAGGGTCTGAGGCTGGTGCTACAGGTTCATGAAAAGGCAAGGCTTATAATGCGCACAAAAACCACTATGCACAGAAAATCCCAGCAGATTATGAAGAAAAATACTAGCATTTCATTACAAAACATGAGAACTAAAAGAAACCACATTTTAAATTATTGTGGTACCACGCTGTAGCACGGACTATTGAAACTTTTTTCCCTTGTGTGTGGCCTTCTAAATAAGGGTGCGTCTTATATGCCGTCAAATACGGTAATAAAAAATGATACGTATACCACATCATTACCCATTATTCCCTGTTTATTTTATTTTATAAGCATTTTTTAAAGCAAAACTTTATAATAGATCATTTTTAAATGTTGGAATTCCAAAGTCATAAAAAGAACATTAATTATCATAACAAAATTTTAAAAATGAACTTTTAAAATAAAATGTTAAGAATATGTAAACTTATATTAACTTTAAAAAGTTATGAATAACATGGCAGATTTCATTTTAAATAATATTTAGTACTAATCAATCCTTTATCAATCAGAAATTGAAAAGGAATAATTTATGTATAGTAAACCTGATTTTTGTAAATAATTCTTTCTAGCGAGAGAGGAAGTTACAAATACAGAAAAATAGTGTGATAATGATTGTGAAACCTCATTTCTAAGGGATAGTATGTCATGCCAAAGACAAAATAGAAACTCTTTTTTGCAGTTTTTGCAACATATTTTCTAAAAAAAATCTAGAAAATTACCTAATTAATATTTTTTAGTTATAATAAAGGGCAAAGAGTTGGTTTAATAGTCTGCAAAAATTTTAAAGTTTATATCAAGAGCATATTTTAAATTTTGGAACTTAAAAACGTAGGACATAAAACAGTTGATTAGATCAAGCGATTTTCAAAAAATTCCTGTAAATTATGTTTAATATTCAGTATAAATTTTATTTAAAATATTTTTCCTGCTTTATTTGATTTTGAAAACTCTAAAATAATAATAATAAAAAAAGTGTGTGTTATGCAGATATGAGCAAAAAGTGGAAGAAAAAGAACATTTCAACATTAAATTATATTTAAAAAATAATCTAAATCAAATTTTTGGGAGGAAATCCTTTTAAGGTGCATGTTTTCATCATCTGGGCAATATATGTTTCAGATTTCTTAATTCTAGACTTATTTGTTTTATCGCTGTATGAATGTTCAAAATTCAAATTTGGTGTTGCTTTGAACTAAAGTGCTTTGTGCTTAGCAAGAAAAAAAAATGTTGTTCTGTCTTCATCAGTTAGCAAATGCTTACTTTTAAGAAGAAGAACATGTTTTGCTTCATATCATTTGTATTATGTAAATTATCATTCAAACTTGATTAGACAGTTTAACTCCTTATGTCAGCTGTACCAGTATCTGCAGTTTACCACAGCTCAAAATGTTTTATTTTAATCAAAAGTTAACACTATATAACATTATACATTTCAAATACTGCTTTTCTTATTGTTTTTGAATAATTTGTTAAGGATTAATTTGAATGAGTTTGGGTATTTTTTGTTTAGTTCTATGTGTTTGTATTATTTTCATTTTCATTTTTATCAAAATTGTCATTACTATGAACTTTTAAAATTAAGTTAAGTAATCTAATATTATTAAAGCATTTGCATCTATTAGTTTAACAGTAAAAATAAATACAATCTGTATTAATGTTCAATTTACTTTTTAGTTGATTCCATTTGGCTTTAAAATGTATTTTAGTAAGTTAATACTTTTTTTTTTTTTTTTTAAATGCATTATGTTTTAGAATAGTGGAATTAAATTAGTCGGTAATTTTTTGAAGCAAAAGGTATCAGTGTATTGGGAAATTTAATTTCATACTTACATGGTTTCTGTTGTGAAAGTCCGAATTCTGTAGTGATTATTTGATTTCAGTGAGTCTCACCTGAACAGTTCAGATGACAGTCTGTGCTCTGGAAACAGCAGTAGTAGTGGAGGTTCTGGAAATTACAGTGGCAGAGGATCTTCGCCTCAGCCTTGCACCGGAGGTGGTCTTTATCATAGTCATAGTAATCCTGATTTGACATCTCTGTTGCCATCTGATGATCTGCGATTGGAGTTTCCAGAACATGTACTCAAAGTTTACAGATCAGATCAGACTTGTAAATATCTGCTTGTTCACAAGGTAATTGTAAGGAATCATATTTTATCAATTGAGTTGTTGTTAAGTGGTTGTATTTTCATATTAAACTAAAATTTTTATTTGAAGGCAAATTCTAGAGAATAATTAATGAAAAATTCTATAAAAATGTTGCATTTAAAAATATGTATTATTGCCAAATACTGAAAGAAATTATAGTAGGGAAGAGGAGAGAATGCAAACGAAGTATCATTCTTCATTTACTGATGTTGCTTTTTTTTTTTTGTAAAACTTTATTTAATAATAATAATTTGAATAATAATAATCATATAAGATTATTGGTTGTTCGAAAAGTTCCATTTTTTGTTGTAAAAAATAACCCTTTGCCCTTCAAGAATTTTTAATGTTGATTGATCAGTAACATTTCAACTGCAGTCAGTTCCAACATTAAAAAAGAAATTTAAAAAAATATAAATGTTGTCTTAAAACTGGAATGATAATTAAGAAGCAATTGGTGGTTTTGATAATATAATATAAGATCGAACAAGAAAACCTTTATCTAATAAGAAGACAAGAGATCCTTTATCTTCAAAATGAGAGATCCTTTATCTAATAAGAAGAGTGCTGTTGCATTTAGGCAGTCCACTAACAGTCGAGCATTGAAATCGCTGAGCACTGGTAGTTTGACCTGAATTCAAATCCCAACAAATGGTCTGACTGCATGAGAGCCCATCATTTCATGATTTTTACACATGTGTATGTAATGTGAATATTAACCCCTTCCTGTGCTTTAATGAGTTGGACTCGTGATGAAGATTTTGTCCCAAACATAAACATCATGAGGCAAGCTTGTGAACAGAAAACTGGGCCAAACATCAACATCACGAGCCTGTCGTAATTTCACAGTCATAATTGAAAGTTACTCCCTATCAGTGCACTGCAATAGTTAGTCATGATTCTTTATTATATAAATTATATAATATTTATTAAAATTATATATTAAAAATATAATATATTTATAATATCTGCAAAAGGCAGAAGGATTAACTAGGGATTAAAGTTTACTTAATTGAAAAGTGTTGTTTATTTATGAAATATAATTTTGAAAGTGTTATTTATTACAAATAGTATATTTATAATATCTATGAAAGGCAGAAGGATTAAAGTTTACTTTCACGCCAGCAGTATCGTGCATAACTGACTATATAATGCAGGCGCTTATGTTTCGGCTTGTATTGTGACTGGTCTCAAGCACCAGTCTGGCTTGTTTACCATGTATTGACCCATAACACTTGGGCCCAAGTTTTGTCGAGTTAAATGGCACGGCAAGGGGTTAACTAGTTTTCCTTAAAAATCCTTCATGAAGACACCCTGAATACCAACTAACGTATTAAAAATAACATCCTCGTGATATGGCTTTTTTTCGTAGATTTAATTGACTGCATACAAAAAATTTGATCAAAATCTCAATATATCTTTAATTTCATTCCAGGAGACTACAGCAAGAGAAGTTGTAATGTTATCATTACGAGAATTTGGTATCACAGAATCCAGTAGGTACGTATAGCTGAAAGTAGCTTCAGTGTGACAAATTAAATTTTTAGTTATATAATCATTTTGTAGCATTATTTAGTCATTTTGTTAATTGAGGCATACCTTAACTTTTCCAGTAAATACTGTCTATGCGAAGTGTCAGTTGGCGAGGGTGGTGTTGTGAAACAGAGACGACTACCTGACCCTCAGCAGAACTTAGCAGAAAGAATATCGTTAAGTAGCCGATATTATTTAAAGAATAACATGTGCAGTGATTCTTTAGTGCCTGATGAGCTTGCAGTGGTATGTATGACATAATCATGTTTAATATTTGATTGATGTTTTGTGTGATAGTGTTTATGGTAGTTTGTATAATGCTTTCATGTTAAAGCAGCCACCACATAAATTTTTAGCAACATTTGAAATTTCCATATAACAGTTTGTTACGTTTGTCAACTTTAGGGATTAAGCATGTTAGCTGTTTTATAAAGGAGGCATCTTTTATAAGCTATGTTGTTTAAATCTTCATTAGTCACATGAAACGGAATTATGTCAATATAAAATTTTAAACTGGGCAATAATAACAATTTTATTTTTGTGTAGATTTTGAATATTTCAACATTAATAAGTCGATTTCTAGAGCAATTAGACAGAAATTTCTCTTCTTGTTTAAAAAAAAAAAAAAGAGCAGCCATTTTTATGCTTAAAGTATCGGGATGCACACAACCGTAGTACTATTTATTGAAAGTAGAAATGAAATGTGAAAAACTAGAATATTAGCATTCTTAATTCTTAAAGCATTAAAAAGAATTTTAATTCCAACCTTATCCTTCTTGTGGAACACCTATATGAAAGCTTTCATATTGATGGCAGTACATTCATGTTCTCTCTGTTCCATCCATTGCATTTCATATGAAAAGAAGCCTACGTCTGATTATTCTCAAAATCAGTATAGTTTTGTTCAAAATCTACACCAAAGCTGCTTTTTTTTTTTTTTTTTTGCTTAATTTTAAATATGCATTATTATTGCTTTACTTTTGACAGTGATATTAAATAAATAAATAAAATAAATATTTTCATTTAAATATATATTACTAATTTAAATATTTTCATTACAGATACTTGTAATGTATATGTAAAAGCGGTCACGGACACTTAACCGACACCAGTTAGCCGACAAGACATTTAGCGGACAGGGACACTTAGCCGACACGACATTTAGCCAACAGAGACATTTAGCCGACAGGACATTTAACTGACACGGACACTTAGCCGACAGGCCATTTAGCCAACACGGACACTTAACTGACAGGTCATTTAGCCGACAAGACACTTAGCCGACAAGGACACTTAGCCGACAGGACATTTAGCCGACACAAACAGTTAGCCGACAGGACATTTTGCTGAAACAGAGAGTTAGCCGTCAAGACATTTAGCTACGGGACACTTAACTGTCAACACACTTAATCCACAGGACACAGACAACAAAGTTTTGATTAACAAACTCAACGAGTTCAAAGCAAGCAATGGCAACCCTGTACAGAAAATAACATTTTTATCTCCAACGTGGAAATTCTAAAGATATGTCATTTTCAAATATTTTGTGATATTGTTCTTGAATTGAATTTTATGTGGTTTACTTGCAAAGAACATGATGTTTAATAAATAAAGGTAACACGCAAAACATTACAAAAACGCTCCTTTGGGCGTAATATAAAATTATATTGCCGAGTGCTTCCAGAATTTTTTTTTTTCCCTCATTACACTGAAAACCGTTTATGCTCTGAATTTTATGAATTGCTAAAATAAATAATCATCTTGTAATGTTAATAATTAATGATCATATAATCAAATAAATGATTGTCTTGTTATGTTATAATAATTTTAAAAACTACTGCCTGAAAATGCTCATAAAATCAAAGAAAATTATCAGATCTTGTTTAATTTTACCTTATTTGTTTCAAAGCATCATATGCTATCAGTATTATTCAATTTTACTTTAATTGTACACAAAAATATAGTTCATAAGTTTTGCATTTAGTTTAAAATTTTTACCGTTTTACTAAAGTAAAGAAATTTTTACAAGAATTACGCTTGAAAAAAATTGCGCAAAATGCAATGCAATAAAAAGTGCTATTGTATCCTTGAATATGTTAAATCTTGTTATGCAAAAACATATAGTGTTCAGGGTTAGTTTAGCAAATATATTTTATTTTTTTATTAAAAACAATTAAAAAAAGGTGAATTTTTAAGACTAGCAAAGGTATAAATTATTTGTGACCTCTATAATTTGCAGTTCGTGCCACCATTCTTGAGGTAAAAATTCTGTAACATTTCATTAACCATGCCTCTTGCTTAAAATACTTACTTAGGTGAATGTTTATAGCCCTAAACTAGTGCATAATGTTTAATTTAGAAGTAAAATATTCTTTAAGGTTTTGTTTTATTCATTTTCGAGAAATTTCAGCGCTTTTCCAATTTGGCCAATGTACACCAAACAGCACGATACATATCAAACAATGCTAAATTAACACAATAATTAATAGCACATATGAGATCTTTAAGAATCGAAAAATGAATTTTACTGATAAGTGAAAAAATGACTTATATATTGAACTTGTGGAGTAGTCGAGGAATTTTGTAATTCATAGTTTAAATAATTTTTGGGTACGTGTCAGTTAAACGTCACTGTCGGCTTAGTAACCTGTTGACTAAATGTCTTGACAGGTAAGTGTCCCGTAGCTCTAAACGTCCTGACAGCTAATTCTCTGTGTCGGCCAGATGTCCTGTCGGCTAAGTGTCCTTGTTGGCTAACTGTCTGTGTTGGCTAAATGTCCTGTCGGCTAAGTGTCCTTGTCGGCTAACTGTCCGTGTCGGCTAAATGACCTGTCGACTAAATGTCCTGTAGGCTAAGTGTCCGTGTCGGCTAACTGGTGTCGGTTAAGTGTCCCGTCGGCTAAGTGTCACGGACCCATGTAAAAGCTTGATATTAGTGCATGTTATTATATATGTATATTGCTGTACCAAAATTTTTCCCACAATAGTTCTGTAGCATACCAGCAGATAACGAGACAGAGTTGTGCTCGCACCTATAGTGGTCTCTTTGATAAGACAATCCATCTTAGAACACCATTGCATTAATATTGTAGAGATGTTTTTGTGATTACCTATGTATGGTAGTCTGTGGTTACATTATGGATAGAAAAAATGAGTAATGAGTCAATATGCAATTCTGAGCTAAAATCGGGCAAACAGCCATAGAGAGTTTGAACATGCTTGAATTATACATAATGTTTTAAGTTGCATGTGCTTCAAAGGTGGAAAAACATTCTTTTATGATAAAGGGCAGACCAGCTTTCCTTGTGCATCATCCCTGAAAAGTATTACCCATTTCAGGAAATTTTGTGTGCAAAATGTTGGAGGGCCACCAGTGACATTGCAGATATTATTGTCAATCTTAATGTCCTGAACATGTGACCTGTTGCTAACAAGTTGTCAATTCTTTGCTGATCCTTGAACTGAAGGAACATCATGGTGCAATATGCTGTGGTCTTTATTAGCATGTCACAGATTATCATAGGGTCATCACTGGTATCAAGTTTTGAGTCTGTAAGCCTAACGACTCTGTCACAAAGCAGTTGTTGCATTGGAAGAGCTTATCATTTCCATGATCTACAGTGCAATGAAGACTATGCTTATTGTGTTGTTCAACAGCTACCATGTTTATCACAAATACGTTTCTCAGGGCCAAAACTATCACAAAGTTTTACTGTAAATTTATGAGGCATTTTAGGGAGAACATTCAAATGTTTTAATTTAGGACATGCAAAAATTTGGATTCTCCACAATGGTACTGCACTCTATCACCAAGTATTTCTTGTTTGTGAGGTTCTCACCAACTATAACATGTTATCACTATATGTATACCATCTACTCCGTTCACTATATTCTCTTACTTAATTTTTCCTTTTCCTTAAAGTGAATGGACTATTTGGATTTCTAAACACATAGTGATTCTTTACATAGTAATCCTATCAGTAAACACTCTTTTATTGAGGTAAATTATATGTTTTTGTACTCAGCAGAATCTCCCCTGTATTTTAGACTTAAACTGAAAAAATGATTTTTTGAAGGCATTCACGCCCACTCCCTTTAACGCCTGAATAGTTTTTTTCCTTACATCATACAGGCAATGCTTTTTGTGCAGTGTGATTTGTCTATATGTGGTATGGGCTTCTTATTTCCAGAGTTATAGTTTTTGAGTATCCTGTTTCATTCATTTTTATTTTTCTCTTTCTGGATGTTTCCCCATACATCATACAGGCTTTGCTTTTGTGCACAGTGTGATTTGTCCATATGTAGTATGGGCTTCTTTTTTCCAAAGTCATAGTTTTTGATTATCCCATTTCATGTATTTTATTTTTCTGTTTCTGGATGGTGCTACCTCATGGTAAGAGCAAGTCTTCAAGGGATTTTTTTAACAACTGAATTTTTAGTGAAACACCCGCTTTCTTTTAAATATATTGTGTTGCACTTGCTAAATATTTCACTTAATAAAGTTTTATGATAAATTGTTCAACTTTCATAATTTTATTAAAACATATAAAATAGCGTTTTAACCCAAAAAAGATTTTGTCCAGAATGGGATATTAATCTCGAAACAGCCTTTTTGCATTGAATTACTTGAATGCGTTGTATCACTTTTCAAATTGTTGCCACCAAACATTATCACTCTCAATCATTATTAAAGAAATTAAATAATGAAGAATCTGCATGAAAGCATGTATGTTTCTTGCACTGTGAAAAAATAATGGTAAGAAGGGAGTTGTTCAGTTCTGAATAATGTAGTCCTCCACCCGAATATGGGCACATAGAAGCACAAATTTTAAATTTGTTTTACCATCTGTTTCATTTTGTGAGACCTTTATAACGAATTTTTGATCAACAAACTCAGCAATTTCAAAACGAGCCGTGGCAACATTCTACACAGTAAAACATCTGTAGTACGTGAGACTGTCTATTGGAAATTCTAAAGACATGCTGTTTTTTAATATTTTGTGATTTTTGCCACTAAATTGAGTTTTAAGTGTCGTAAGTGCCAAGAACGTGATATTTAATAAATAAAGTAAACACAAAAATGTTATTAATAAAACAACCCCCAAAAAAAAAGTTTTGTAAAGCTGCCTTAGGCAATAACTGAACATTCTTATGAATTGGGAAAAAACAGAAAAATGTATGCCAACACTTAATGCTGCATCAGGAATTCTAAACGTATACTGCTATGCTGCTTGTGAAATTTTTGTAATTTTGCTGTTGAATTGTATATGGTGTAAGCGTGAAGAAAACAATGCTTGAGAATAAAACTAAAAAGACAAAAAAAAGGGGGTTAGTAGTAGTGAGTATAACAGCAGACTGATAGATAGCAAGTGAGCTCAGTGAGAGTGTAAAAAGTCTTAACAAACCCTTTTGGGCGACCATTAATATCTGAAATATTTCAGATTTAAAAATATATATACAAGTTATCTTGCTCTAAATTTTGTGTATTTATTGAAAATGGAAAGTGAAAAAAGCAGGTTAGACTATTCAGAAAGTGAAATTGGTGACTGTGAAGGCTGAGACATAAATGTTGAAAAATTAACTGTGCAAATCTGGCAGCTTTTCAAATTTTTACACATAACTGGATAATGAAATTAATTCAGAAGATGTTTGAACATTTTGTGAGATTGGTGTGAAAAATCCTTCACTGAGAGTTCCATACATTCACATGGATGTGAAAGAAAATATAGATATTTTACAATTCTTAAAGAAATTTTTCATGAATGATCTTATAAATAATAATATTATGCTAGGAATTGATTGCTAGTGTCAGAAGTGCAATTACAGACTTTACGGCCTGTTTTAAAATAGAGTAAATTTTTTTTCCGAATTATAGATCATCAATTTAAATCTGGTAAGATGGCATGCAGAAATTATACAATTAAAAATATGAAACTGTAATTTATGAAATAAAGAGCAATTATGATCTAAAGGGTATTAAAATTTACAAGGAAAAAAAAGCTTAATATTTATTTGTTTACTTTATTAAAAATTTTTTTCAATGTAAGTTGTTTCGTTTTATGTGCTAACACTTTCTCTTTAATTCTATAAACAGACATAATTTCTTGTTCAGTTACAAAATTCCGCTGTTCAAGTTCTGTAATTGCTGTGATGGGAATACCGACTAACTTGTCAATCGAAATTTTTTCGTTTTCACTAACCTCTCTATCACTTTCTTCATGCCTTTATCCATTTTTTGCAGCAATTCCACTTTTTGTTTGATGAACATCGAAACATGCTTTCGCTTTGTAGATCCTTTGGCAGCTCCAGAATCGGAAACTCTTTTTGACATAATCAAAAGTTCAAGCTTATTTTTTATAAAATTGCTCTAACAGTCTGCAAAAAATAATAAGCAGTATCCAATTAGAAGATTAAGGAACAAACACAATCTGCAACATTAACTGAAATATATAATTAGATAATTTTAGCTTAGCTTATACCGTCCGTTAAACATTAAACGCGCATGCGTAAAGGTATTATACTCATACGTAAATGGTACGTATGCGCAGAAAGTTTGTAGCTTTGAGGTCCGGATTATAGATCATTCTGGATTAAAGACTTTGTATGAAATTGATTTATGATATTGTAGCTAGAAGTTTCTAGATATGTAATAAGTATGAAATATAAAACAAGTTTACTGCTACTTGTGTGCATGAAAAAAATACCAACATTGCAGGGGTAATTTATGTCAAATAAACTTACTTAGTAAAATTGAACGTTATAACAGTAGTCATAAGTTTTATTGTTTCATATATATCTTTATTTTTAACATACGAATGATTTTTTGCATGTAATTCAACAAAAAATGCAGTGTTTTCTCAAACCGTGTAGTATAAAGATAGACAGTTTTTAGATGGTTTACTGAAATTTATTGAGCTGAGAAATGTTTAAATAATTTTTTATCATGCTTGTTAAAATTCAAAACACATACTCTCTATTCCTGTAATCATTTTTTTTTTTCTAAAAACTAAGTGCCTTTCAAGTAATTTTTGCATCTGATTTTGATTTAATGTTTTCTTTTACATGCTTCCTCAGTTTACGTTACTGGTTGATATTAAGAAAGAATTGTACCTGTACATAGCTTTGCTCAAATGTGAAATTTAGTGTTATGTCCAAGATTAGCCTTTCCTAATTCAGAAACAAACAGTTATGCATATGCAAAAGAAACTGTATAATAATGAATGCGACAGGTGAATCTTTGTGGAAAACTGTTCTGTATTTCTCCACTAATAAAGAAATAAATTGCCTAATAAGCCACTGAAATAAAGTCTGTGATCAAAGTTAGTTTTCATGTACTATATGAGTGAACAAGCTGATTTCTGTGAAATTTTGCTAATTAGTTGCATTATATATTGCCAACAGGTTTTTGTTACAGTAATTTCAGAATCATTTGCATCATAGCAGTTTTATCTTTTTTACATATGTATACGTTATGTATATGTAAATTTTTATACATCCATATGTATAATCTGAAGAGTATTTATTTGAAAGATGATATAAATTATCTCTTATAAGTGTTTTAAGTTTTTTTAATGTAAAATGCTGCATAACTTGAAAATGTGCATTTCAAATCTACAGGTAGTCTTTGAGTTTCATCAGATTTATCGACATTTTTATATTTTTCTTCTCTGTATGATAATATTTCATGTAGCTGTAAAATTATCATTAAAAAAATCCTATTTTGTAACATATTTATCCTTGATTATCTTGTTTGCTTTCTATTTTAAATAATTCTGATAATTTCAGATATTTCGTTTTATGTAACATGATTATTCTTTTAGGAACTTTTAAGAGACAGCCAAGTGCATTTACTGCAACTTAATAGTGTGGAATTAGCAACACAACTTACTATAGAAGATTTTAGTATATTTCGACAGATTGAACCTACTGAATATATCGATGAACTGTTTGAAGTAAAATCAAAGTATGGTACTCCAATGTTGTCAAAATTTGTGGAGGTCAGTATTCTTCCAATTATTAATTTAAAATTTTTTATTAATTTGTTTCAGAAAATATGCTTATTATTTCATTTTTCATCTACTAGTATTTTATTTGGAATTATGGAGAAAAATGGCTGAACATAAGCTTGCTGATTAATCTATCACTTATTTGTCTGTATTTCTTTATCTTAAGAATTTTTTCTGTGCTCAGAGAATTTTGGTTTGTTAGTTTGTATCTTACCCCAAAGGGACAATTTGCCCAGAAGGGCAGTTAACTTCATTTCGGCACTTTGCGTTGGTTCATTATAAACAGTGCTTTATTTTTCAAATTGTTGCGACCAAATATTAAAGCCCTGCATTATATTTAAAGAAATTAAATAATGAATGTATGTATGTTTCTCGCACAGTGAAAAAACAACGGTACCTAGAGACATCAAATTTTAAATAGTGTAATCCTCCACTCGAATATGGGCATCTGGTAGCCCAAACTTGGAATTTGTTTTATTATCTATTTCATATTTTGTAAAACTTTAACGAATTTTTGATTAACAAACTCAATGATTACAAAGCAAGCAATGGCAACAATGTATTTAAAAAAAAAATTATCTCTGGTATGCAAGATTGTATCAAAAATTCTAAAGATATGCTCTTTTAAATTAAATTATTTTGTGATAATACTGTTGAATTGAATTTTATGATTTAAGTGTGAAGAACATGATATTTAATAAATAAAGATAGCACACAAAATGTTTTAAAAAATGCCCCTTTGGGCATAATATAAAATCTGAAAGCTTTCAGGTTTTTATTTTTGTTATTTAATTTTTGTATTTATTTATTTTTAAAGTATTTTCTGATTTCAGTCAAAATAAAATATATAAATAAAAGTAATAAGCCTCATATATTAAAAACTTCTTTTTTAGTTGGTAAACAGAGAAATGTTTTGGGTTGTAACCGAAGTATGCTTTGAACACAATCTTTTAAGGAGAATGAGAATTATAAAGCAGTTCATCAAAGTGGCAAGTAAGTGTTATGTATCATCTTTCGATGTTGTGGAATCTGTGCATAATTAGCATTAATTTTAAGATACTGTATTTTAGAATAGTATATATTTGACTTAATCATTCTGTAAATCACTTGAATATAATGATTTCTGCTTGTGAATATACATACCCTGACATCTAAAAGGAATATTTATTTAAATTAGATGGAATGTGTTTAAAAATGAGATACCAAAGCAGCAAATTTATCTGACTTGCGAAAGGATACAGACAGCAAACCTGTGATATAATGCTTTTCAAGGCCAAAGCCCCCCTTCCATTTTGTCCCCTTTCATGTTAAGTCATGATGATGTTCGAACAATTAGCAATTTAAAGCATATGACTGTACCCTTTCATGTTAAGTCATGATGATGTTCGAACAATTAGCAATTTAAAGCATATGACTGTACCCTTTCATTTTCTTGTATTAACTGAGCAAGCTATTGTAGCATGAAAAAATAAAATCTTTTGTTTGATGTAGTCTTTGATGCTTATGGAATTGCGCTGATAGTTATAGCACTTGTATTGTGGAAGCAGACAAAATGAACTTGTTGTTTCCAATAGAAAATTAACTCCTAATTTAGTCATGTTGTAAGTACTAATAACAGTGTCCTTGGTTAATTTAAACTCATGATTAAAAAGACACAGGAAAGAGGAATAACTCATTAACAGAAAAATAAATTTTGCGATTTACTCGGACTTTTGAGTAGCTTGATATAAAGAGTGAGTTCATTTGATTACATAAATTAAATGAGTATTCAAAACAAAAACAGCACATGGTAAATAATGGATGAATAAATGTCATTAAAAATTTTTTAAAAAAACGTCAGAGTTTTAACAGTTTTTAATACTTTGTAAAAAAGTTAAAACTTCTTGTTTTTTTATTCTAACAATGCTTATATATTTCATATGCATCAGTGGCCAAGCAGTAAAACTGCTGAACACTGGAGCTTCAGCTTGGTTCAACTTCTTGTGAAAAGACAGGTTCCACAAAAGTTTCCTTATATGTTACTTGAATATGAGGCAGTTTTCTTAAAAAATTCTCTACTAAGGCACTCCTTTCCTGAGACAGATAGACTTCACATTCTTTACCATAATCCTACTTTTTACATTCAATATACCATTAAATTGTGTTCAGCTATAGATAAAAACAGCTCCCAAATACAATATCATCTCTTATCATTACTGTTATCTTATGCCTTTTTTTTTAATACATAAACAGTTTTGTTTTATGCTGATGATTTGTGATACTGATTTTAGCATTCCATACTAAACAAGTATAGTTTTTGTAGCTGGAATCTGATTAGTTGGGGCTTACTTGTTTGTATCTGAAATAGGACAATTTCTTTTTGTTCAAGTTTTTTGTCATATGTGAAGGTAATTTCTTTTGGAACATCAATTCAGCATTTTCATTCCTTCTTTTGGGTAACATTAAGCATAAAAGAACAGCAGATTTTTTTTTTTTTTTTTTTTTTTTTTTTTTTTTACTAATGCCTTACATTTTATGAAAGGAACTTCATGAAAATCTTAAAATTACCATTACTAATAGCAGTTTTTAGATCTGTCTATATTTTACAAAACTTTATTTCAATATATTCCCCCTTCTGTTGTTCTCTGCTATAGTAGTGATTTTGTTTTTTAAATTTTGGTAAAGTAATTTATTTGTATCACATTAAACTACAGTTTCAAAAGAATTATGGACTTATTAAAAAGGAAAACAAACAAATATTGAGCACGAATCATCTTTCCATTATCAATGCTGCAAATGCCATTGATCATTTATGAAGTTTGTTTTGAAAATGTGATTGTAACAGAAAAAAAAAATATGTTTTATTAGATGCTGACCTGATATTTATAAGATCATTCATTTTGAAATGAGATTGCTTTTGAATATTATGCATTATAGTTTTTTAAATACATTTTATGCTTTACACAAATTGGTTTTCTTTTGTGACAAATTAAAGCATTTGTAGAAGGTAGTATTAAAATTGCTAGAATATATATGCTGCTAGCTAAAAATTGCTAGAATATAGAGCAGAATATTGCTGGAACATAGCTAATATCTACTTCCCAAATAGTATTTTTAAGATTTGTTTTCTACTGTTTTGGCTAGTTTTTTAAAAGCTTAATAACATTATTTTAGATTTATGAGTTATTATGGATAGTGTGATATTGGAAAAAAGTTTAGAAACAGAATGAAATAGCAGTTTCAATGAAAGCAAATATTCTGATTATGTGGCATGATTGTGTGGCGAAGTTAAAACTAATTCATTGTGCAAGCATTTATGTAATGATTACACTATTTCTTTGTGCATACAAATTTAAATCCTATGAATTAAGAAATATTTTGCCTTTCTTACCAGTAGCACATCCCAAATGAATGACTACTGATCTGTTATTTATTTTTGTAAGGGCAGTATTTTTAAGATGAAAAAACTGTTTACTACTCATTTATTTATCAAGTTAAATTACATTACATTGTTTAAAATTAATTCCCCTTGTTTAAATTCTTTAGGACAATGTAAAGAATGCAAAAACTTCAATTCAATGTTTGCTATCATAAGTGGTTTGGGACATGGTGCAGTTTCCAGACTTAGAACAACATGGGAGAAACTTCCTACAAAATACATGAAACTTTTTGAGGTCAGTAACTTATTTCATTTTAAGTGTTAATACTGAATTTAAACTTGATATTAAATCTCATTTTAAATATTATTATGGTGTTCTCCTCTGGGTAATATAATTCATGATATACTTTCAGGATTTACAAGATTTTATGGACCCATCTCGCAACATGTACAAATACAGAAATCTTATATCTTCGGAGCACATTCAACCTCCTATGGTATGTGCATATCTTCTGTATTTCTGAACATTTATTAAGTAAATTTTCATAAATTCTGATGCCAAGTTGTTTTTCACTTCTAGATACCATTTTATCCAGTTTTGAAGAAAGATCTTACTTTCATACATTTAGGAAATGACTCTTATATTGATGGGCTGGTGAGTTTTATTTTGTAAATGAATTAATTTCAAATAATTTTGATACAGTAAAAACCCAACTATCCAGCATTCAGCTAACCAAAATGCTTTCGAATTTTATAGGTGCTCCTCCCCAATCTAAAATTAAGCAAAAAAAGAGATTTGTAACTTAGTTATAAAGCACGAATAGGACTACCATTTGAATCAAATAAAAGTTGTTGCCAAATAGTGTGATTCATCTGCAGTAATAAATAAGTGTGATGTAATACTTTAGCTTTTTGTAAACCCAATTAATCCTCTATAAGTCAGCTAAATTTTTGTAAAAACTATCTAAGTTAACTACTGTTCATCTGTTTTTCAATTGCATTTTGAATAAATGATTAAAATTTGGGATTTATCTTCACCGAAACAACATGCATAGAATATTTTCAAATTTACGGGATCCCGTGACTAAAAGTTATAATGGATAAACACTAGCTGCACAGTATTGAAAAATTATGACAAGCTATTTAATTTTTTATAAGTTATATCCATAACTTGTATATGTTTATTTTCTAAAAAGCGATCTGTCCTTTCAAACTTCTGCTGGAATGACTGGTGCAAGTTTGGCAAGATCTTCGCCAATTTTCATGATCAATGGAATTTCAAGTGAATATGGTGTTTTACTTTGGTGTTTATGTCTGAAATACTCTTATTTTTCGAAATCTCACATAATTTATATTTAGGCATTTGATTTTTAAGTTAATAACAAATAAAATAACTCTTTTTATAATTGTAGGCCGAAATTTTTTTTTTCCCATTCATTTGGCTTTTCTACTGTGTACTGAATTTTTTTATATCAATTATCTTGAACTTTCACATATCCAAAATTCAGCATTTTCTGAGCTTTCTGGATAGTTGAGCTTTTACTGTACATCATATTTTACACCACTAAATATATTGTTTTGAGGAAATGTATGTTCCTTGAAAAGGCAGATAACTGAGTTTTTGATGAAATTCTTAAAAATACTGAATTGTCAGATTTGGGGGGGGGATTGCTCAAGTGTTGATAAACGTGTCCTATATTAATGACATGATTAGAAACCATATTAAATGTTTGTGTCATCAGCATATAGACACATGTTAAATTACATTCTTTAAAGGCAGTTTTCTTACTGTTATATTAATTATTGCTTTAAACTATTTCAATTATTTGAACTCAGAAGAGTAATTGACAAAATGTGTGCAAAATGTTTAGTGTTCATCTATCATATTTTACTTATATAAACTTTCCTCCTTTCTAACTTAAAAAAATGATAGAGTTATACAGTGGTAATTGTATATAAAATACAATTTATCATTCTCCGTGGGAATGCAAGGGAAAAAAAAATGAAGGTGGGAAAATGTTTAAATTGGCGAATAGTTATAAAAGTCACATAAATAACATTTATTACTTTCAACAAAAAGTCATATTTTGTTTTGTAATAGAATTCTGCCTCAACCAATAATACAGGTTTTCAAGACCAAATATTTTTGCAGCTTGTGTCATTTTTAATGTGCTCATAGAAAAATGCTCCATAAAGTTTTGTCTTGTTGAAGTTTTCTTCTGTTTATTTTTACCTTCTTTGTCATCTTCCTCCACACTCCTTGTAGACCGAAACTGAAAATTAGTCTTTAAACCTATGAAAACTATTACCAGTAAATTTATCAAATGGAAATAAACTTACTGCAAAAGTCGGAAATGATGTTGCTAATGCAGACATAAAAACTGAGGGCCATAAGTGTTACTGCATTACTCTGTGTGTTCCCAGATTTATTTTTGAAAGAGAAGTTAATGTAAGTAACTTCGTTTCGAAAGATCCATGTGAGAAATATTGTAGCTGAGACATGGTTCACAAATGATAAATGGGCTAAAATTATAGTTAACTATATTGGATGTGGAACATGTAGGAAAAATAATCTGTTTTGGGAATGATAGATTGCAGTTTCTATTTTATACTATTTCTAAGAGAAGGAAAAAGACTGCAGAGATACTAAACTGTTCCAACTATTTTGCACTTTCGGGAGAAGGAAAGATGTTCATTCCTGTGGAATACAAAAATAACTTATTCTCCCATCTTTATCAACACTCTCAGAAGATTGAATTTTCGGGGGGACAGTCTGTATACTATCTGTGTTCATTTCCCTTTTTATATGCATGAGAAAGTTCAAGAAATGGTCCTGATATGCACATACACAGCATAGAAATTTGAGAATTTTCAGAAAATGGTCATTCTTAGGGATATGTCCACTTTCTTAATTAAGAGATTTAATACTGAAACTGCCAACTACGTTGTAACTTGCATGTCATGCCATGTCTAGGACCACTACAAGACAACTAGTACTGCTGTTAGTTGTCTTCTTCCTGCGGCAGCTTCTCTATTCATAGAATATCAGTATATCTAAAAAGACTAAATTTTGAGAAAAAGCAAACAAATCACAGCTAGCTTACACAAATCGAAAATTTATTAACCCGGCAGCACGCGCATCCTAATAGTAACGTGAGAACGCGCATTGGGTCGAGTAGGCCTGTGTGCACTTTTCTTTAATTCATGCGACTTATTATTGAACCAGTAATATATTTTTTATACTGTGACTCATAAAAATCAAGAGAAGTTATATATTTGAAAACAATGAATAAATATCTATAAAAATAAATCTTTACATCTTTACATTATCTTAACACTTACATTAAATCTTTACATAGCATATAACATTGAATAAGATAACAGAATAAGGTAAGATAGACTAGAAGAGAAACACGCTAATGTGACAATCAAAATCGTAAAAAACAACCTTATATTTAGCGTAGGTATAATGAAACACTCAATCGATTTCGAGGGCAGCTAAAGGTCCCTCCTCATCAGGAGAAAGAGATACATAGAAAGAAGAAAATAGGAATCACAGAAACACGTGGTGCTTATCAGCACTGCACGTGGTTATAACTAGATTTTTAATCAGAGTTGCACTGGCTGCCTACTTTTACTGAGCCAGGCTGTCTGATCAAGCATAAAGAAATATTAGCGAAGTTAAAATAGGGAGCGAGGGGCAAATACATATTACGCTCAAAATCTGAACTTCAAATAATGGAAAGCAACCACTGAACGGATTTTTATACCCTCTGGTAGTACCAAGTGCGAGGAGGTAACGCCATCTATCGGCAAAAATAATTGAATTAAGACAGTAGAATTTTAAAGGCATTAGGAAGGACTGGATTGGACTTCAAATCATTAACTAAACTTTCTAAATCTTTGTGAATGTGAAAAGCCTCAAGAAAATCCAATTCGCCTATGGAAGAAGCCTTTGGATGATTTTTGCAGACCCAAAATCAAAATTATGGTTTAAAAGTCCAGCTATGATACGCTATTGAAGACTTGTTAATTTCCCCTTTTTTGACATAAGATTCATGTTCCTTGATACGAAACTTCAACGCTCTTTTTGTTTGGCCAATATATCTTAAACCACACTGACATGATATACTATAAATTCCCCAAGAATTCAAGACAGAAACGCAATCTTTTAGAATCGAAGGGTGAATTTTATTAATAGGGGAGAAAAGGGAGAAACGACTTGAAAATTGAATTTCTGGAGAATCCGTGCAATTTTATAGCTAACAGAAGGATAAAATGGAAGCACGACAAGGTCATTGATATTATTTCTAACAGTAGAATGTCTTCTTTGATGGGAATCTGAAAATTTTTTGACGGCTTTATCAATAATCACGGAGAAGAAAATCCACGGTCAATCGCAACTGCTCTCAAATAATTAAGTTCATTGGTAAGCAAAGATTCAGAGGAACAAACTTTTAGCGCGCAAAAAACATAATAGTAAAAAAAAGCCATTTTTTGCTTAACAGGGTGGCATGACTTGGCATGGGGTGGTAAACAAACTGCAAAGGGTTTACGGTACACAGTGGTGCTAAAATCGGTTTCATTGCGGAGTATAAGAATATCGAGGAAGGGGGGGGAATTGTTGGATTCAATTTCAAGAGTGAATTGGATGGCTGGATCAATTGAATTCATAATAGATAGAATCTCGGATAAATCCTCTTTATAACCGTCAAAAAGTGCGAAAGAAAATCCAATTCGCCTATGGAAGAAGCCTTTTGGATGATTTTTGCAGACCCAAAATCAAAATTATGGTTAAAAGTCCAGCTATGATACGCTATTGAAGATTTGTTAATTTCCCCTTTTTTGACATAAGATTCATGTTCCTTTCAGATTCCCATATAAGGGACACACGCAAACGTTTATCTAAAATTGAATTTGAATTATATTACCTCCATTTAAAAATTGCTAATTCCACGGAAAATTTTTCCTCATTTGAACATACATCCTGGTCTAGAACCGATACCGTTTGTCAACGGCATAAAAATGTGCTCATTTCTAAATTCCAAAAAACTCACACACCAGTCGGATAGTCCAACTTATCTAGCTGATCTTCCCACTGTAAACGTTAACTCCATCGTTAATATCTCCAATAGGAATCTTTCGGAGGATCAGTTAAAAGTATTAAAATATAATTTCAACTTTTCAAAGACATCTAAACCTTCAATTCCTCAAATCATCGTCCCTGTAGAGAAAGCCTTTAAATTCTCCAAAATTTTGGAAACGCAGAAGGATACAATCCGCCACTTAACTAATTACTCATAACGTTAATTTTAACAATAAATCTTTGGGTTCTAATCTTAGCAAAAAGGAAAATGAGATCTTACGTGAAATTCATTCTGATACTAATATCATTATCTCTAAAGCTGATAAGGGTGGACAGATCGTTATTATGGACAAACACACATATATTACTGGAGTCTCTAAATTGATAAATGAAGGCCCATACTGCTCGATCCCTAAAGATCCTTCAACTTCGGACATCATGAAAGTAAAAAGTGCTATTAAATCTTCCCACATTCTGCCAACTCAGTTGAAGAAATCACTTATTCCGCCTATTACTAATTGCGCTAGACTTTATGCTCTTCCAAAAGTCCACAAAACCGGTATTCCTTTTCGACCAATTGTTTCCAACATAGGTATTGCTTCATATCCTTTGGCCAAATATTTAGTTTCCAGATTTTCTCCTCTACTTGATAACAATATTCACACTGTAAAAAATTCTGTTGAAGTCATTGATAAACTTAAAAATATTTCCCCACTTCGTTCCATTATGGTTTCATTTGATGTCAAATCATTGTTTACTAATGTTCCGGTCGAAGGAGCACTAAATTGTCTTGAAACTAGGCTTCGGGAATTTCACTTCACACATACTGAAATTAATGAGTTGGTTTCGCTTACTAAAGTTTCTCTAAGTCAAACCCACTTTGTTTTCCAAAATGCATATTTTCGTCAAGTTGAAGGATTGGCTATGGGTAATCCTCTCAGTCCGGTACTTGCTGACATTTATATGCACTATTTTGAGATGAAATTATTTGATAAATTATGTTTTGTCTTTGGATTCGGTATGTTGACGACACTTTCGCACTTTTTGACGGTTATAAAGAGGATTTATCCGAGATTCTATCTATTATGAATTCAATTGATCCAGCCATCCAATTCACTCTTGAAATTGAATCCAACAATTCCCCCCCCTTCCTCGATATTCTTATACTCCGCAATGAAACCGATTTTAGCACCACTGTGTACCGTAAACCCTTTGCAGTTTGTTTACCACCCCATGCCAAGTCATGCCACCCTGTTAAGCAAAAAATGGCTTTTTTTTACTATTATGTATTCCGCGCGCTTAAAAGTTTGTTCCTCTGAATCTTTGCTTACCAATGAACTTAATTATTTGAGAGCAGTTGCGATTGACCGTGGATTTTCTCCCGTGATTATTGATAAAGCCGTCAAAAAATTTTCAGATTCCCATCAAAGAAGACATTCTACTGTTAGAAATAACAATATCAATGACCTTGTCGTGCTTCCATTTTATCCTTCTGTTAGCTATAAAATTGCACGGATTCTCCAGAAATTCAATTTTCAAGTCGGTTTCTCCCCTATTAATAAAATTCACCCTTCGATTCTAAAAGATTGCGTTTCTGTCTTGAATTCTTGGGGAATTTATAGTATATCGTGTCAGTGTGGTTTAAGATATATTGGCCAAACAAAAAGAGCGTTGAAGTTTCGTATCAAGGAACATGAATCTTATGTCAAAAAAGGGGAAATTAACAAGTCTTCAATAGCGTATCATAGCTGGACTTTTAACCATAATTTTGATTTTGGGTCTGCAAAAATCATCCAAAAGGCTTCTTCCATAGGCGAATTGGATTTTCTTGAGGCTTTTCACATTCACAAAGATTTCAGAAGATTTAGAAGTTTAGTTAATGATTTGAAGTCCAATCCAGTCCTTCCTAATGCCTTTAAAATTCTACTGTCTTAATTCAGTTATTTTTGCCGATAGATGGCGTTACCTCCTCGCACTTGGTACTACCAGAGGGTATAAAAATCCGTTCAGTGGTTGCTTTCCATTATTTGAAGTTCAGATTTTGAGCGTAATGTGCATTTGCCCCTCGCTCCCTATTTTAACTTCGCTAATTTTTTTATTTCTTTATGCTTGATCAGACAGCCTGGCTCAGTAAAAGTAGGCGGCCAGTGCAACTCTGATTAAAAATCTAGTTATAACCACGTGCAGTGCTGATAAGCACCACGTGTTTCTGTGATATTCCTTTTTTTTCTTCTATTTTTTCTATGTATCTCTTTCTCCTGATGAGGAGGGACCTTTAGCTGCCCTCGAAATCGATTGAGTGTTTCATTATACCTACGCTAAATATAAGGTTGTTTTTTACAATTTTGATTAAGGTAAGATAATTGGATATAGTTGAAGAAGGTAACTAAATTAATGCATTTAAACTTTTAATATTGAAAAAATACTTACATAAGACGGTAGAAACTTAACGCTGGTATATATTTATTGACACATATTTACACACTATGGAGCTATGCTCACCGCAATCATTTTTTTCATGCAAGATCTTTCAAAAAGCTTTACGGTACTTTTCTTCAGGTTTATTGGTTAACAATAACAGAACATGAGCATTGATAGCAGCTGTATTTAACATACTAAAAAATACAACCATCGGCCATCTGTTGCTAATCCTAGCTTAATTTATATTTAGGCATTTGATTTTTAAGGTAATAACAAATAAAATAACTCTTTTTATAATTTTAGGCCGAAATTTTTTTTTTCCATTCATTTGGCTTTTCTACTGTGTACTGAATTTTTTATAAGAATATAAAGCCGACATTCTGTCCACTATTACATCCACTGCAACTTTCGTCACGTTATAAAAAGTAATAATTTCAGGTTTTTTTGGCATCAGCAGATGAAGGATTTATAGCATCATCATTATGCATAGTTGGTAATAAAAGCACAAATTTATTCTTTTTTGGAGTATATGACACTAAAGTCATATGTTTCTGAAATTCGAAGAGAGTTGAATGCAATTCTCGTTTTCTGGAGCAAGTGAATTCCTTCAGTATTTCTCTTTTATGTTTTCTTATTGTTCCAACAAGAGTAATTTTTTTACCTAGAAGGTCTTTAGCTAGACCAACACTTGTATACCGGTTGTCAACAATGAAGTTTCTTCCTATGTTGATAATAGCTGTGACAAGTCTCATAACAACTTTGTCCACGCTGTTTTCCAGTCTGTAGGGATCTTCAGGTTGCATCTTTGCATATATTTCCAAATTCCAGGTATAAAAGGTCCGTGAATCAACTAGAGCAAACATTTTTAATCCCATACTTTGCAGGCTTACTGGGAATATATTGCCTGAAAGGACATCTGCCTCTAAAAGGTTCTAATTTTTCATCGATGGTGACGTACTCACCATGCCTGTATTCCGGATAACGGACATCCAGATTAGAGACTTTGTACTGTACTACAAATGTTCATTATATTTTATTATTTCTGGTTCTGAATTTTGAATAAGTTATGTTTTTCCTGTCTTTAAACTTTCGTTCATTTTACATTAAAAAAAAAATATTTTCATTTGTGGCATCCAACTCTATCTGTATAAATGCTGGATTTCTCCATCTCTGTTACAATCAGCCACTTGATGTAGAGTGTGTATGTACTTAATTTTCATGATGTGTTTGAATTATTTATTGAATAGCACTGCAATTAAGCTTAATACCTTATTTATTTATTTATTTATGCCGGTAATTTTTTTGCATTTCTTTATATTTAATGGGAATTTATTTATATACAGGTTAATTTCGAAAAACTGAGAATGGTTGCTAAAGAAATTCGAACAGTTCTAAGCATGTGCTCTGCACCATATGTAAGTATACTCTATTAATATTCATTGCTGTAAAATTTGATGTAAAGCATATAATATTATTTTCAATTTATTTCTCGATTGCATTTCTTTTAATGTGTGTATTATACTTTTAGGATTTATTTAATATGCTTGAAAGTGGCGGAGCTCACCCAACTGCTGCTATGGCATCACTCAACAGCTTTGCTACTACTACTAATGCTGCTACTGTAAAGCGAAGAAAGAAAAGTTCAGCTCAACCAAACCCCAAGAAAATGTTTGAAGAAGTAAATAGCATTAAGTCAAATTATTTATAAGGGGGCTGAAAATGGGTCATTAATCTTAAAATAAATAGATAATAGGAAATTTATGATGATTTATGCTGAAGATTTTTTTCCTTTTCATTTTTAGGCACAAATGGTTAGGAGAGTAAAAGCATATCTTTCCAATCTAAAAGTAGTTACAGATGAAGATCAGCTACATGCTATGTCAGTAGAGTGTGAACCACTAATTACATCAGGTACTATATATTTATTTTTCATACATAAAATTATCAAAAGGGCACACTTTGAAATATTTGGATATATTGATCAAAAACAAATTTTATGTTATTCGACATGTAGATAAATATTATATGTTAAGGTATTATTTTCGGAATTATTGAAATAAACGTGGTTTTTGACAACTTTTTACTCCTAAGTATTTCATATTAACATTATATTTTTTAATTTATATTTCCTATGAATTGCTCTGATTTTATAAAATCTCAAATTTGGTATGTTATGAACTATTGCCCTTTTCCCTTTACTACTTTGTGCTAAATGAATAAAGATGAACTTTATTCTTATTTTTTTTAACCTTGAAATCTTTATGGTAGATCATAAAATTTTATATGAGAATCATGACTATGCTATTACCTAGCAATGGAAAAAAATGTTAGTTTTCTCTAAGAAAACGTTTTACCACTTTAACATTAATTGCACATTTTTTGTCATGTATAAAAGTGTGTTCTTCATTTGAAAGCCAGTTTTAAAATGCAGGCATTATTCTCATGTCAGGGATTTTCAAATAATGATCATGATTGATGATTTGCTACTTTTCCGTTTCGCTGGCACAAATATCGGCAAGCAGGCTTTATTTGCGACAACATCCTGATTCACTGTTTCATACCACGTGACCCCAAGTGATCTCATCTCACGTAAACTATGCTACAAAAATCTAATTCTCTCAGTAATTACCTACATTAATTTCAAGTTAAATCTTAATTTGGAGTCAAGTTTAAATGCAAGAATTATTTCAATTCGTACGAATACCTTATTCAGAAATTATGTAAAACTGCAGTGCTTTATTTCGTTAGTGCATTCTCATTGGAACTGATGAATTTAACCCCTTGATTTTGCCTTTTCTATATTTTTGCCGTCGGGGTGAGAAGTGTGATTGCATCCTAATTGACTTAATTACTGCGAATGGCCTTAGGGCATAAAATTGAACTATCTGGTAAAAATTCTATGTAATTGTATGCCAGTATTGAAAGAAACAATCAATCTGATAAGTAATGGCTGCGACTTGTTTTGAAAATGAGGCATAAAAGGTTACCAGTGAGGATATTCTGTTTGGCATCGGTTGTACTATGTTTGGCGACTTTATGGCTTGTGCCGGCAAAATGGAAAAGTGCCGAATTTTTCAGAAGATTCGAAAACCCATAGCTAAATATTTACTCCATCCTAGGTAATGTGAATTATAATGCCTGATGAACACAGCTTTTCTTGTAATTTTTCCCAGGCTGGGTATGATGCAATTCTGTAAACATATTGGCGTACCTCTCACCCGTCACGGTAGCACTTACAAAACCAGAATCACGCATTTCCTCGGAAAAAAAAAAAAGGCCTGATAACAGTAGATGTGGTAAATCCAACCCATACCGTGACTTTCTCGTCGTGCAGTGGAGTTTCCACGACTGTTCTAGTATTTTTGGTAGCCCAAATTCTGCAGTTGTGGGCGTTGACAGACCCTCGGAGCGTGAAATGAGCTTCATCAGTCCACAACACGTTACTCAACCAATCGTCATCTTCTGCCATCTTTTGAAATGCCCACACCGCAAATGCCATCCGCTTCACTAAATCACCAGGTAACAGTTCATGATGCCGATGGATTTTGTAAGGATAGCATCGGAGGGTACGGCTAAGTGCCAACCAAACAGTAGTGTATGGAATGCCGGTGCAACGTGCGACTGCACGAGCGCTGGCTTCCCCGTGCATAGACGAACCCGCTACAGTCTCCATTCCTTCCTGAACCGTCTCAGCAGCATTACACCTTGTGCTCAGGCGGTCACTACGGAGTCTATCTTGTAAACAACCCGTGGCCTCGAACTTCGAAATGATTCTTACCACACCTGCATTTGTCAACGGACCTTTATTCGTTTGAATCCCCTTCCTATGGCGATAGGATCATAACACTGAACTAGCACATTCCCCATTCTGATAATACAGCTTCACTAAAAGCGCCTTTTCAGGTAACGTCAACATGCTGCGACTGCTGGTGCATCTGATTCTCTCTCATTACAGCTCCTTTTATACAAGATTTGCATGCGCAGTCACTGACGTTTTGCTGTCCAGGGCCATATCTGTTGGACATTTTTTTAACTTTTTTTTTTTGGTTCTAATAAAACCTCATGTCATTTTAAATATGTGTGTCAATTTTTACCTCTCTATCTACATTATTCCGTGGATTTATTAAGTTTTCAAATTTATACTGTGTCAATTTTTACCTCTCTACATTATTCCGTGATTTATTAAGTTTTCAAATTTATACTAACTTTTTTATCACCCGGTATATTATACATAAAATACAAATATTAGTTTTATTTGTGCTTGTTACTGGTAGTTTAACCTTGCTCTGTCATAAAATTTACACGATATTCTTCCCAGATAACACAACCTGGAAGAGAATGAGAAAAAAAACTAATTTAGAAACTATAAATAAAAATTAAGACAATAAGTTGGTACATTTTATCACTAATATAGCTATTATATTTTATGCATGAATAAAATGTTTGCTACATCAAAAACCACATTATAAGATAAATGTTTTTTGACAGATCTGTGTGCATTAATTTAAAATTTAAATGCTGACATAATAAAAACAGCAGTCATTTTTTAAACTGATATTACATTCTTTCAGGAATTACTTCAGACATAGTACAGTACAAAGTCCATAATCCGCACCACAAAGCCACAAACTTACGCATGCGCGTTTCCGATAGTGAAGAAAGTGACAGAGAAATTATTGAAAACGAAAAAATTTCGATTGGCAAGTTAGTCGGTATTCTCGACATGGCAATTACAGGACTTGAATATTGGAACTTTGTAACTGAACAAGAAATTATGTCTGTTTATAGAATTAAAGAGAAAGTATTAGCACAAAAAACGAAGCAACTTAATATTAAGCTTTTTTTTGTAAATTTTGATACCTCATAATTGCTCTTTATTTCATAAATTACAGTTTCATATTTTTAATTGTATAACCATTTTACCAGATTTAAATTGATGATCTATAATCTGGAAAAAACCCTGATCCGGAATCGCCGACGTCCTGACGAGTCCGGATTACAGACCTTGTACTGTATATGATATAGTAATTTAAAAAATTTTGTCTTTTTATTTTGTTCGTGATTAATTGCACGTTGTTTTATTTATAGGTGTGAGTACATTGCAAGTCAGGAAACGACAGCCATCCCCAACACTTTCTGCAGCAAGTAGCAACAGCAGTTCCTCAGATTTTAAGAAGTGTAACAGTTCTAAATTTGGTAAGAGCAGTTTACTAATACTGAAATTTGCTATTATGTTTATGTAAATAAAGTTTTTTTAATATATATTTAGCTTCATTATTTTTATATTTAACCCTGCATTCATAAATGCAATTCATGCATTTTATGAGAATGCTTATCTGTGTGTGGATATCATTCTCATAAAATGCTTGCAATATTCCTTTACCCTTGTGAACAGATGCAGTGTTCTTTATATATACCTTTGGCATCTCGTGATGAATTTCAGTACTGCCTACTTTCTAATATTACAAAAATGCACTATATGTTATTATTTTTTTTAATGCTTCTATGTCTAATCATTGTGCTCATCTGAAGTCGAATGACTTCATGGACAGTCCACATGGTTTGTTAATCACTTTCTGCTTATGTACATCATTATGTCCTCGCATATTTTCCCCTCTTATTGAGTAGTTTGATAGAAACAGTAGTTTATTCGTAATACTTTGTTATTTTCTTACTGTACTCGTAAAACTAAAAGTATTTATGAATTTAACTATTGGTAACTATCAAGCTGTGGGGGGGGGGACTTAAGGGAAAAATACGTGGGGGAATACTTAATTTCTTTGATGTTCTTTACAGTAGGATTTTCCCTTCTGTATTGAACTGTACTCCTTAGAAACTAGTAGTATTGACTAAAGTGCTGGTTTCTCCTAGTTTTTTATTAAATTTTTCTTGTATTTTGTAGTTTGATTTATACCATGATTTTTTTAAAACTCTCTTGCCTTATTTATCCATCTCTAGTTGAATGACTGAGTTTGTTATTGAAAAGTTTTATTTTTTTCAGATACTAAGTTCTGCTCTTTTTTTAATTACAAGTTTTGAATAGATCTTAAATTAATAATAAACTTTGAGGGTTTATTTAATTCAAGCATTATTTTAAAGACTTCGAGACATAAGTATGTAAAAACTTTTACTGTTTTAATTCTCTTCCATCCGTTTAATAATTCCTAACATTTAATTTTACTTTTTATCTAAAAAGGACTTTAAAAAAATTGTTCACTTGTAATAAAAAAATTTTTTTACATTGAATTTTTTAAAAAATTTTAGATAAATTTCTGTTATGTAAAATTAATGGAAGATATTTTGGGGAAGTTAAAAATAGTATATTTGATATTTTTGCTTGATATATATAAGCAGAAGTGTAATTTTTTTTTTTTTAACCCATCAACGAGCCCGCCTCTCGGAACGAAATGCTTTGAAAACGGCCGCGTTGTCAGACAACAAACCCCTCCAAAAAAATCGCTTTCGTTTTCTGAAATCTCTCTAAGATGGCCCAGCCTAAGGCAGTATGTTTGCTTTCCCTTAGTGTGATGGATAAGCCATAAAATTGCCTTCCCGGTATTGAATGGCTTGCGTTTCGTTTCGTCTCCCTCCTCTTTCTTTGTACTAGTACCCTGTAGACTTGTTTCTTTTAACATGTGGCGGCCGAATTTTCCGAAATCTTTTTAGAATTTTAGCTTCCAAGCTTGTAAATTTTCAATTATTCGACATGTTTTATTGGGCAGTATTTTAAGAAAGATCATTATTTATTTTGTTACACAATTTTTTACTATTTACTAATCTATTTTATTTAGTTTTAGTAGGCCAATTTATTTTTGGAAATTAAATTTTAATTCATTCTTTTACCGACTGTTTTCATCACATTATAAGTCCATATAATTTACGATGAGGGTACAATATTTATCAGGAATTTTTGGAAAATTTTGGCATACGTATTTATATTTAGCGTTGAATTTTTTCCACAAGTTGTTCGTTAACAGTCGAGCTCATCCTCGTAAACGCTTGATCTTTTCAGCATGGAAATGGCAAGCAATAATCTTCCTAATATTTTCGGGATTTTATAGCAATTTCTAGAATTTTGGCGGTTTTCTACAAATATTTTGGGTACGTTTAGCTATTATACAGTTGCTACTAATGTGGAATTTAAAGCCAAAAATGTACTCCTTCGTTGATTTGAGAGATCGCATTTCGAATTTAAACGGAAGTTTAAATGAATTTGATACAATCTTAGCACAGACTAGAAGAATTATTTCTCTGTGTTGGATGGATTTTTCTCACTTTTCTGCATTTGATAGATTAAATGCATAAAGCAGACTGGCACAAATAGAATTTAAATAAATTTATTTAAATAAATTTCTATTTTCATTTAAAATTTGTCATTATTAGCACCTCCCGCAGTTTATTGCAATCATAGGATTTTCCGAATTCTATTAGGTCGTTAACATAATTTCAAGGCCGAATAGAAAAGTGATAAATATGGAAAGACTATGTCTTAAGTACCAATAGCCAAGTATTTGTAATTAAATAAAAATAAATATTGAATACCAGCCGCTTTTTTATTTATTTTTAGTCATATAACAAAAGATAAACAAGAATACTATTACATCTAAGAATTATTTAGTAAATTATTTTGCTAATGTTAATGATGAAATTATCATATGAATGATGAAACACGGTAAAAATGTTTTAATGATTGAATTCAAAGTTAAAAATCAAACAAACCCCAAAATTCCTTTTTCCCAAAACTTCGTAAAATGTTTTGATTAAATATGATTTGAATAAGTTTTCCAATTCTGTTTTGAGTGATATAAATGAGGATATAAATATTATTAAATTAGGATATAAATTTTATTAGTAATAATTTTTGTATTATAACTTAGCAGAATATCGTTTACCGTTAAAAATTATATCTAAAAGAATTAAATTTGTAAAAGAATAAAAAATATAATTAACTGTTCCATTTGTGTCCTCTATGCATCTATATATATAAAAAAGGAATCTGGCTAGGGAATTTACGACTTCTATATGAACTAAAAATTGGTATCTTGACAAAACTTGTCAGAGCATAAAAAGCGTATATTCTGTGATTTAGTGTATTAATCATACTTCTGTATCCGTAAATGCAGCTTATAATTACCAGCATTAAGTATAAATGATTTTATTAAAACGACGAAAACTGAATGCATTATCAAAGTACGGCTCTTTATCCGTTAAGTATTGCTTGGTTCGTAACCAACACAGTTTTATTTTGAAATTATTCCAAATAAAACAGGAAGAGTTAAAACTATATGCATTTTAAACAGTTTTTACTTTTTATATGCATACAAATGTTAAGTAGCTTTAAATTGAACTTCATTTCTGAAACTTCTGCAGTATTATTTTTAGAACAGATCAAGGACTTTAAAGAACAAGTACATTTTAGTAATATGCAACGTTAATGATATAGCTCAAATGTTATTGAAAAACTGTACGATTTGTAACTGGCACTGGAAGAAGCAAAATTTATCTACAACTTTCCCTTTCTTCCCAAATTCGTCTGATTAGCAAGGATTGAATAGATAATTGTAAACGTCTTTGCTAAAAGTAATAATAATCGGGAAGAATCCTTTCTACCCCTGCCTCCTGGGAAAAGAAAACGACTTGGAAGGGAAACCTGACCTCCGCAGGCTAAACTGACACTAAGGTCTCCAAAGACTATTTCTAGTCAATAGAGTTTTTTCATTGTAGAAATACTCATTATCTAGAGCTATCTTTTTTTTTTCTAGCCATTGTAACCTACAGATATAGTGGAAAAAAATTCTCATTTTACATAATTTTCGGATAATTACATTTACGTTAAATAATTTTAGATTTTGATTAACGCAATCGCTGAATATGGCAGAATAATAGTTTGTTGTAAACATTGAAATTTCAACGTTTTTTTTTAAGTAAAGATTTTCAATAAACCAAACCAAAGATTATTAAATTAGTCTTATAATTTTTTACTGTTTGGTTTTCAGTGTTCTGAATTTGCATTTTAAAAACATAATTTAAATAATCTTTCTTTACGCTAGTCGGCTTTTAAAATGTTTTACCTATGTAAACACTTACTAATGTTTAATGTAGCAACTTTGTATGTACTTAACGAAAGACTTAGAGGAATTTAATAAAGAAAACTAGTTCACATGGAAAAAATCACGAAATCTTCCTTACAGCCAACGTATTGACCAGAAACCAAAACCAGGTCAAAATACTTATGATCATCTCTTTATCCACATAGCCATCGTAAACTTTTCAAACTATACTTGTTCTTATTGCAGTTATAACAGAAATGTGAACACTCAGATACTGCGCTTGTTAAAGTTAGTACAGTCTGCGGCTGATTCTATATCTGCCGAGGTTTTTCGAAAAAAACTTGAAAGATAATAAATTATGTTACCTGCTGAGTCATCGAAATATTATATAATTTGTTTATTGAAACTGAAAATTTTATAATTTTCTATAAAACTGCAATGGAATTATTGCATTGAGTAATCTTCAGTGTGATGTAATTAGTGTCCTAAATATAAAAGTATGTAAAAATCAAATTGGAAATTGCAGCAAATCAGTCCCTAGAAATATGCTATGCCTGTATTAATCTATAGTAGCAATCAATTATTCATGAACATTATAGTATGGCATGCCATATAACATTTGTCAGCAGTACAGGAAACAATTTCGATATGCGTGCCTTTTCTTTTAACATAGTTTTTCTCTCGTTACTTTTAAGATAAACATATAACTTGAAATAGTTTTTTCTTCCTCCAGCTTTCACTTATTTACTTCTTAAAATATCTCCACTAAAATCAGAGTGATATTATCAACGATTTTTCTTTATTATATAAATATAAAATTTATCCTTTATTATATAAATAATTGAAATGCTTAAATTTTGACATTCTAATAAATATTTTATAGTAACTCTCTGAAAAATTAACTTCTTTTAAAATGTATGAAAATGAATTAAATCGTGTATTTTTTCCAGTCTTAATGATAATAAAATTTTAGAATCATCAGTTATATATCCGTATTGATTATGAGAAATTATCTCATTCTTCTTTGAGCTGGAAATTGCTCAATGGAGCTTCTTCCAGCTAGAATTTGAACTCGGGGTGTAAGTGATAGTAGATCGGACTATAGGATAACGGATTTTTCGTGTTTTTTTTTTTTTCTCGTAAAAA